TCTCTAACTTTACCCTATTTCTCCCCTATTTCCATTATCCTGTTTGTCTCAGAAATTCTTTCAGCTGTAAATGGATGGAGACCATGAATATAATCCGTTTGCCCTGTTCCTATAATCTTCATTACAAATTTGCACTTGTCCACCATCAGACCCCAAGCCGGGACAACCTTTTGCCTGATCTATTATAGTCTTGCAATCTAGAGGCAATTCCATAAAAAGAAGGGCTTGATGAAATCACCATATTGAAAGTACAACTTCTTATGCCTGTTTATCATATTATGAGGTATGGACATACATCAACATCAAATACAGTTCAATTTTTCAAAGTGATTATTCAGAGACACAGAATGACTGTGTTATTCAAATCCAAAGCATTCTTCATTTATCTGTGTTTACCTCTGAATACCCCGTCTATTGAAACTACGATCTATGGGAAATCTGGTTTCATGCCACCTTGGGACTTCCTCTGCTATAGATTTTGCAGGATCTGTTCAGCCCCCTCCTGTCTCTGTAGGACACTGCAAAAGGAGAAATTGCTTGGTTGAGAGAGCCTGTGTTCATGAAGAGGTGACATAAAACTAGCTATGCTACCTTGTTCTACCAGGGATGCCCTTGCTTGGGCTGGAAGATTTATCTGAGACACTGTGTGGATTAAACTGCAATGGAAAGATTGTCTTCTGGATGTCCCCCCACTTGCAGTCCTGAAAATTATCTCTCACCCCCTGCCTACTTTTACAAGTATCACTGTGGCATCTACACATCCTTACAGAAAGACAGAGCCAGTATAGCAATAATTTCCATAGAAAATATTGCAAGTATATTCTTCAGAAGCACCTAGTGAAATTCAAGAGTTGACATAAAGGAGTGAAGATCCAATGTTGCCATAAGCCATTAACTATAAACTATTAGCCAAAGAAAATAAGGTAGAGTTAGAAATGACAATCTAGTTAATCACAGCTCCAGTGCTTGTGTTTATATTTTGCTTTAGACAATCCTCCTTTCTCATCTGTCTTGTCTGGAAAATGTGATAATGCATTACTCACAAACAGGCTGGGATAGTGAATTAGGATGCAGCTTATTGCGTGGAGAACCACAGCAAGCTGTAGAAGTATTAGGAATGGTTATTATGTGAGAGGACTACTTAGGAAATGGTTTCTTTGCTCTGAATTGTCTCTTAACATCAGTCAGGCCAACCCAGGGCTCACATTATCAAGCACTCCAGCATTGTTCTCAGTGGAATCAAATAGGACACAAAATTCTTCAAGCTGCTGATGAGACATTTTTCTTCTGCAGGATTCCTAAGAGGTCAACTGGAAGTGTTAGAAGATTTCTGTTTGGAGGTAAAGTGATGTATCTAAAGAAAATTAGCTAAAGGAGCAATAAGAGAAAAAGCCAACAGAAAGGAGCCTGTGACAAATGCACTCAACTATGTACCAGTCATGTACATGAGTCAGTGGCACAGGAACGCAAGTGGAAGTTTAGAGGTAGTCTGACCTGGTTGTTGCTGTCTTTAGAGTGACAAACTAGTTTTGGCTGATACAAAACTCCTGCATGGGAGGCAAGTAGCTGGCAAGCTCGAGACGGGTTAGAAGAGCACATCAGAGATCCGTTTGTCATTACCACTCTGTTGAACTCAACCAGCTTGACCAACCTACCAGAAAAAATCAACAGTGAAAGTACCCTTTGACTGCTTCATAAAAAATCAGTTCATTGTTGCTAAAATTACTCCTGGAAGCAATTTAATTAACTTGGTTACCTTTGTACTGAAGCTGACGAGGAGGGCTATAAGCCCCTGTTGTGCTAGTTCAGCACTAGACAAGAAATCCTGAACACCAGACAGCAAATAATATTTTAACCCAGGACAGACATTTCTGCAGTGACAGTTCAACAGCTGGCTGCTTCACCAAGCTGCAATTTCTGTGATGTATCTAAGATGGATGGAGCACATGAAATAGCTAAATAGATAAGGGGCTAACTACACTTAGGAAACACTTCATGATGAAACAAATATTAGATCATAATTTCTAGCATTACATTAACACAGCTTAGCTATGAGGGCTCATGTATGCTAAGGTCAATCACAAGCCTCATATGTCAAAGTTCTGTCATCTGATCAAAGGTAGAGTTGACTAATAGCATATATTTAAATGCCACCACTCCCCCATTACTAAATTGTGTTTTCCATCACAGGAAAGAAGTTGCATTCTACAGCCACATCAATTATTTGTCCAACCCTGCTTTGCTCAGGAAAGGAAAATGCATTAAGTTCATCTATGCCTTCTATTCTCCCTTTACTGAAGGTGATATCCTATCCTAACCAGTGTGTGAAGCAAAGACTAACGTTATTCCTTAATTTGCTGGGTCAGTTTCTCACAACAAATTCCGACTTCTGGGGCCCTGTGCAAGCAGAGGCACTGCTCTTAGCACATTAGTAACATTGAAAGTCTTTCTGGCACACATCTTGCAGCCTTCATGGCTTTTTTAAAGAGCAACCTCTATGACCTTTGACATGTTAGGTAAGAGGGGGTGGATACAAGGGTAAACAGTCAAAATGTGGCAATTACCAAATCAAACTCAGGAACACCTGGCAGGGAAGAGAGTGAGGTAGGACAATTGCTCTGGAGTTGCATTCAAGAGCAGAGATCTTTCTGTGGCTTCAAGTAACTGTTTCTACCTTCATCCAAACAGTCAACAGAAAATAAGCCTTCTTTGATACAAGACCGTGCTTATCATTCTCAGAGCTGTCCTTATCACAGCATTAAATTTTTTTCCTTATTGTTTTGCATAAGCATGGTCAAAATAATTGTATTGAAAGCATAAAACACTGATTGTTGCTCTCAACTGTACCTATTTTCACATTCATCTCCTTTGCCACTGTGTTTCTCCAAGATTTCCTTTACAACAGCAGCTCTGTTTTTTTTTCCTGCATTTCAGGGCTGGATATGGCTCTAACAAGAACTGAAAAGGTGTATTTAGCCATTTCTCATCATATAACCCCTTTTCTGTTCCCTTCCCATCTCATTTTCAGTATTTCAACTTCAAGATGACAATTAAGATTAAATGTTAAAGAACAAGTTCTTACATAAATGTATGACACACAGCTCCTGAGTGACAACCTCAGCTTTGGTACTTGACTGCTGCATGGAACAAGTTAGAAATAAAAAAGATTTTTCTGCTGTGATAAAAGGAGATTAGCTAGTCTGATTTTCTGTCATAAATATTTAAAATTCGTGAGTCTGATCCTTCCCATGAAAACAGAATCTGGCTCAAACAAAATGAGATGATAAAAGAAGTTGTTTGTTTGGTATTACTTTTACTCTCCAGGTCATTTTCAAAGTTTTATGTATCATTGTGAGACATCTTTTTTTCAGGATCAGGGCCATTAAGAAAAGTAGAGGGAAGTAAGGACACATGCAAACCATGCAAGTTTGCAACTCTGGGCCAGAATCTACAGCTTCTGATGGCACTAGCTTTTTTTGCTTACTCTGCAAACAAGGTCATTGGAATATTTTTAAATAAGTGGGCTTTCTTTTCCCGCTGATATTCACACACTATCATCTCCAGTGTCAAATCTTTTTTAGCAAAAGTTGTTTTTGCAAGCCTGTGCTATCCTTAACTGAAAAAGTCTTTTGCACATTTTTCTAAACACTTTTTTTTTCTTCCCGAAGAGTTCATTCAGGCCTCTGATAAAAGCAACAGAAGAAACAAACAGGGCACAGAATTTTAAGCAGCTGAGAAAAATCCCTTCCCTCAATTAATTGTAATATCTCATTTTGATCGTATAATACTACAACTGTCTATTGGAACATTCCAGGAAATACAAGGAATTGCAATAGAAAGACAAAAAAAAAAAAAAAAAAAAAAAAAAGTTATTTATAGCATTTTTTATTTAGCATATAAAAAACCCCAAACACAGTTTTCCCTTTTTTCCAAGTCAGTTTTAAAGAGAAATTTCTGACCTCTATTCCTACAATTGAAAAGTTTTTAACTTCAGCTGGTTGGACCCCTTGAAATAACCAGCTATCCCCTCAATAAAAAAAGAAAGCAGAAAAAAAAGCAGAACAGTCATCACCTCACATATGCACTGAGAGAAAACACATGGGAAAGACTTATCCTCAGAGAAGTTTTAGCAATATATGGTATATATTCCCCTCCTAGAATTCCAGAGAAGCAACCCTGGAGGTTCTGAGCTTCTAAAATAGAAGGGTCTGTGTATTCCATCCTCATCGTTTTGTGTGCTAGACAGAAGCTGCAACATCTGTCCTCCACTTTTCTCAAAATCAGACAGGTCCCCAAATCCATTCTTGATCTGATTACAGCACTGAGAAGCATGATGCAGTGATGTAGCAGGGCTGAATGCTTTCTCAGCAAACACTTTAGAACAGCAACTTTCTTTTCAAAAACACACTTCAAACAGGCTTTTTTTAGTCCCCAATTCTCACTGGGACTGTTGCTGCACTAGCATCAAACCCCTGTTTCCCACACTTTGTGAACCTGCAGTGGTCATCCCATTTCTTTGCTGCACTGGCACCGCATGTGGCAGATGTGTCCCAAAACAGTAACAGGAATAAATCCTTACAGTAGGATGGGAACATACTACTGCTTCATCCCATCACCAACTGTGATCTGTCAGTTCCCTGGCCCTGATCATTGTTTTCTTGAATCATGTCCCAGGTGCTACACGTCAACAGGACAAACCTTGTGCAGCTCCTTGGGGCCCTGGCATTACATTCAAGGCAGCCTCACAGGATGGCAGCCAACTGATTTTCCTATCCCCATAATAAAAGCACTGAAAGCTGATTCTCTCAGCTTACACTCACCCGTGGATTAACAAAAAGCACTGGTTATATAAAATGGAGAACAGCACAGATCAATGCACAAGGAAACGCCTTCCTCAGCCTCAGCACCACTGCTTGCTTAAAGGATATCCCTCCGGGGGATAAAAACTGCTGAGTAAAAAACCCTCTACTCTTAGCAAAGCCTGAAGAGTCCCATAGGAGCTGTCTGCAACCCCAGGCTGTAACATATTGAAGTTATCCGTATGCTGTGTTGCAATTCTATTAAATACGTGACCAGCAATCCGTGTGCTCCCCCAGCAGCGCACAAAGCCCACCACGACGGCGGCTTTCCCGTCCCTACACCCAAGACCCGCTCTGTGCACAGCCAGGGAACCGGCTGCGGCTCAGGGGCGGCCATCTCACGACACCTCAGCCCGCTCCCCTCAGCTTCAGGGCGCTGAAAAACGCAGGGGAGGGACACGCACGGCACAGCAGCCCGCCGGGGTGGGGCAGCGCTTGCGCGGTGGTTGCTACTGAAAGTTTAGGGCCCACGTGGGCTTCAGGATAGGGCTGTGGAAGGGACGGCGTGCCCCGCACAGCACCCCGGACAACCGCCGCGTTTGGCTGCCGGTTCCCGCCCTCGCCATGGCCCCCGCGGAGGTCCTTAGCGGCAAAGTCGTCTCCGCGTATGTACCCTCCTCGCCCACGGCTGCCGGCGGGGGGATGGGAGGTTTACTTTTCAGCAGAACTGAAAGCGTTGTCGCAAGAGCTCAGCCTGGGGGTCTGCTACTTGTTGGCTCCGTCCGGCATCAGCCTTGGGACGCTGCTCGCGGTTGTTCGGCATCTCTGTGCTGAGATTAGCGCCCAGGCTGATGCGATAAGGTGGAAACACTGCCTCTTGTCTGTTTGTGCTCTCGGGATGCTTTCTGGGCCCGAGTTGGCAGTTTAGGGGTGGTCTCCGTTTTGAGAGCTTCTTTTTAAAGCTGATTAAATTAATTTATGTATCGGGTAACACGGGGATGAGCGTTACCGTGTGTCTTGTCAAAACTGTTGGAAAGATTTGTCAGACTTCCTTCTGCTTTCAGCTTTCACTCAACTGAACCTTGTGCTGTGTAGTCATGCTTACTTTTCCTATTGCTGCTCTGCAGTACACTGCTATACGTATATGTACTTATACGTGTGAGAACAGTGCTGAACATACAGAAGAAAAATGCAGTGTTTGGCTACAGGTGACACTTGTGCAATGCACAGTGGCATGTGGTGAGGTAGGTTTGGTGTGCACATCCTGAGCTTGGATATTAGGAAAAATTTGTTCACAGATAGTGGTGATGCATTGGAATGAGCTGTCAGGGAGATGGTGGAGTCGCTGTCCCTGGAGGTGTTCAAGAACTATGGAGATGAGAGAACATGGTTAATGGGGATGGTTTGGGGTTGGGCTAGATGATCTGCGAGGTCTTTCCAACCTTAATGATTCTGTGAACCTCTCTGTAACCTGGGAATTTCATAGAATCGTAGAATGGCCTGGGTTGAAAAGAACCTTGAAGATCATCTAGGTTCAACCCCATTGCTGTGGGCAGGGTTTCCAACCAGCAGACTAGGCTGCCCAGAGCTACATCCAACATTGCCTTGAGTGCCTCCAGGGATGGAGCATCCACAACCTCTCTGGGCAACCTGTTCCAATGGGCAACCTTTTCCAGTATTTGTCCAGAATTTGAACAGAAAGTGTAAATTTGAGATGATTTAAAGTAATCTCTGAGAAGTTGTTGGGGCTCATCTTTGGTGTTGCTGCATACGGAACATCTACTTCCAGCTGGCAGTGCTACATTTCTCAAAAGTAGCCTTAATGTGTCTTGAATCTAAATATTCCAGCACACTTTCGTTGTGGACATGTTTTACCCTGTAATTTTGGGCCAGTTATCAGGATGATTACTTGGGGCTTTCAGTCTGTCAGTCTTGTGTACACTGTTAGACTTACACTTTTGTCAGTCTTGAGAGCATTGTGCTCTGCATGCCCTATGTGTGGTGCTCATAGTACCTAGTGACCTGCCCACTTCAGATTTCCTTTTTCTGGCATGGAAGCCGTCATAGATTCCTTCAAGGAATACATTAGTGAAAATTTAGACTGAATAGAATTCTGGAAAGATGATAGTTTGAGGAGAAGGAACATGTTTTGCTGATATTCTGAGCTTTCATCTTCTAATATTCTTGGTTCTAGTTTTCTTGCATTTTTCATTATTTTATTTTGTATTTTTTTTATTTATAGTTATAGTTGGTGACTCTTTTATTTCTGTTTGCTTTCAGTGTTATGTTAGCAGTTGTTTTAAGAAATGAATGATGTTCAAATGCCTGAAAGAGAGCAAGATTTTAGTAGATACATATGGGAGAAAGGATTACTTTGTTTCCAGCGCAGCTCTGAGGTTCTTGGTTGAAGCCTGTCTTTCAGCAGACATTGAATCTTGACCTGAAAACAGCAAAAAATGGGGAAAAAATTATTGCATCTGTACCAATGTTCTTCATTTCCTTTACATCTCCTGTATTTATGCCCAACATAGCTAAACCGTATCATGATCTGCAGGTCTCACATATTTTGTTTTTTCTCCAGTGGAGTGTTTGATGAAGATGTGAGGAAATGAACTGTCCACCTGCAGACATGTGTGTCTTTTTCCAGGCCCTCTGGAGAAGTGCTCAGCCAAAGGATTCTCAACATCCTGAGCCTACTGTCAGGCCATGAATCTATCAGTAAAAGAAAGAAGCAAGTGATAGGCGTGTGCTCTTTCTAGGAATATTCAACTGAATTTGTCTGCCATAGTAAGGGTGTGTTTCTCAGTACATCATCTGCAAAGTCTTTTCAGTTACAATCCTGTAGGGTTTTTCTCTTATTCTGGGCTTTAGTTGAGAAAACTTTGCTTGTAATTCGGTCAAATGTTAACAAATAAGGTGAATCAATGAAGCAGTGTTCCAGCTAGTTAATTCTAAGTTTATGTATGTGTTTTAAATTAAAAACTCCTAAGTACTATGAACTTTTTTCTCCTGCTATCAGCCACCCCTTCCCCAAAGAAAGGTGAAGAAAATAACTAATTCAGAGTCATGTCATTTATTTAGAAAAAAAAAAAAAAGCAAACAGGTAAATAGTAACATTCTTATTTTTGTGAATCGGTTGAAGAGGGGAAAAAACTTAAAGAGATGGAGCTTCCTTGTCCCTGTGATCAAAGATAACTTATGTAGGAGATCAAGCTAGTTAATGTCTAGAAAGTCTTGGGAGGTTCAGAAGAGACACAAAGGAAATTAGTCAATATATGTGATGATAGTGTGATTTTTGTCATGCATGGAAGGGAGAACATACAGAGCAGCAGGCATTGTGATTTGTGTAGGATTTTGGTGCCCAAGTTAATAATACTTAGAGTAAGGCAGCTTCTTTCAGTAGAAATAAGCTCTTCTATTTGGACGGTCTATGAAGGATATTGGATGTATTACACTGAACCTGAGTGTGAGGTGAGAGCAGGAAACTTGTGAATTGATTGCAGCTCTGTTGTCTAAATAGCATCTTCCCTCAAACAAAGCCATTTGTTTCTGCATTTGTTTTATCATGGGGACAAAGTTGAGCAGTGGCAGCATTGTAGACTGCAGTGCAAAATGTCTATAGGGACAGTAGCTCTGGCCAAAGTGGCTTAGGATCTGGGGAGGCTTCTTAGTCTTCTGCAGCCATTTCTGGAGGGCTGCAGCAAGAGCACTTCTGATTCATACTTCTGAAACCTTTGGGGAATCTAAAATCTGGGCAATGAAGCCAAACCTTTCTCTCTTGGGGGCAGGCCTCTCCTGTAGAACATCGTTGTCTCTGAGGGAGGTATTGTCTTGGTCATATGTTCAGCAGTATCACCTATAGTCCACAGAAGAGATGGAAATACAGCCTAATTTTTATTCTAAAGTTGGTGCTACATATGCTCACACCACAGCCACCCAAGCCATGACATGTAAAGAATCCAGCAGGTGTTGTGGTGGAGTCTGCCTGGGGAGGTCCTGGCATGAGAGCTGTGCTTCTCTCTCTGTGCTTTGAGCAGAACTGGAGGAGGGTGGTTTGTCCTTTGCTATTCTGGGAAATTCACTGAATAAATTTAAATTCTGCTCACTTCTGCAGTCTAGTGAAAGAAAGGCTAACCGCTTCTTTAATCTTTGGAACTGGCTTTTTCATTGTATGCTTAAAGTCACATGCTGTCCTTAACCCGTGTGGACCCTGGACTTGTGTTTGCAGTGGGAGTTTGTTTGTGGAAGAGCCAGCAGCACAGGAGGGGTCTTGGGAGGGAAGGCTGTTGGAGGAGCAGCCACGTCCAATTGCCAACTTACGTTTGAAAACTTGAATAAATGTTCATACTACTAACAAAAAAAGTTGTTAATTTGTCGATATGATTTTTTTTTTAATCTTTATGAAGACTCAAATTATTTTGTAATGTATCTGCCAAGCTACAGAGACTGCTTTTTGTTTGTTTCTTACTTAATTTTCTCTCACCTTTTCATCTCTAGCTTTCCTCTTAACTGTCATTCAGCTGTAGTGAACGCTAGGTGGCTGTCTAGCAAGTGGTTTCTTGATTCAAGACTCCTGAGGCAATTCAGCTCTGGCGGCACCACTTCTGTGTTCATGCATGTTACCTTTCTTGTGTAGCTGAAGGGGAAATGAGCTAGCGCCTAATTACAGAAAATGGCAGCAATATAATGTGTGAGCTGTTGTGGCTTCTTGGTGTAAAAGCATGCCATAGCCCTGCTTCAAAGTGGATGGAGAGAAATAGATCCTCTGATGGGACTGCTTCTCCTCCACTTACAAGGCTGGATTAAAAATAAGTGCCAGATCTGAAACCCTTTCAGTTGACTGTCCCTTATGAGAACTCTACTGCATTGTAAACTACAATACGTTTCACATTTGTTTGCATTTCCTCTTGTTTGTAGACTGTAAACCACTGCTGCATCTTTCTTACTGACTCAGCTGCACATAGGCTATTTCAGAGCCTTATCTCAGAAGTAGCTCCCTCAAATAGGTGCCCCACAGTACCCACTCTAGCATTGGGTTTCTGACACTCCTTGTGATCCCTGCACTGCTGTTACGGGCTCCTCACGAGTTCAGGCCTGACTGTGTCAGCAGCTGTAGTGGTACTGCCTTCCCTAGGGGATGTACAGCAGAGGTGATGTGCTGCCAACCAGAATTTCTAAGATGAGGCTGTGAGCTCAGAAAAGAGTGTCAAAGGCAAGCCAGTGTCAAATGCAGACACTAGCTAAATCATGCCTAGAAAGCACTATTACTGAGATAAGATTGAAAACAACCTCTTTTACCAAAGCTTATTAAGAGACTTGGAACAGATTGGCCAGATGCAAATACTTATAAATAACTTGAACCTGCTTCTTGGTAGCAGTAGAGCTCTGGCCACATGGTTTGCGATGCGGCAGGAGAGAGGCTTGATTTAGGATGTGGCAGGAGGCTGTGTGATTCCCCTGAGATGGGGCTCAGAACAACCCTGGGGCTGCTTCTGGCTGGGCCAGCTGCAACCATCCCCTGAGAACAGTGCTGTTGAGTTGCATCTGCTTCCATTTCTCTTCCTTCTTGCCTCTGGCATTCCTGATTTGGAGCTTATATCATTGCAAGATAGAGTTGGTTTCACTTGCTATCAGTCATTCTGGAGTTTTGGGGCTGTATGGCAGGAGTTACAGCCTCTGGGTACTTAATCTGTCCCAGCACTTTTGCTGTTTGCATTATTTAACAAACTGGCATCAACAGCTGCTCTTCCAGTCTGAGAGGTCTGGTTCCACTTAGAAAGTATCAAACGTTTTGGGGCACTGATTTAAGGGTAGATGTATCCAAGGTAGGCACCACTGGTCTGTTCTCACTGAATCCAAGCTGCCTCCAGTGAGGAGACAGAGCTGTGGCTGCAGTCAGGCCCTTTTTGACATAATCTTAGAATCTAGAGAGTGCACTGGGCCTAGCACCAGGATTTCTTCCCCACTACCAAGTCTGCACTGGTGAAGGAGCACACACACCTGGGACATGAGAAGCAGTGACAGCTTTTGAGCTGTTTGCAGCTCATTTATAGGTGATGAGTAACTGTTACCTCTAAACTAGGTATGAACTGACATTTAAGCTAGATTGATGCAATCAGTAAATCCTCTCATGTACTCATCTCAAAGTTGTGTTTTAATAACTGTATCCTTCAGCTTGTCTTTTGCTGTAGAGTTAACCTGAGCTGTTTACCAGGGTTTAGTTTTCCTTGCTGCTTCATTTCTCTCTCTCATTCTTCTTCCTGCTCACTTGGAAAATTTTTTACTTTCTTTGGAAGCCCTCAGACTGGAGTAATTTTCTGAATCCATGATGGGAAGCAGGAAGGTGAGTGTAGGACTGTGACTTATCCAGCCCTGGATTAAGCCAAGCAGACAGGAAGGAGAAACAAACAGTTTTGGCCATCTGTAGCAGAAGTACAAGTTTGGAGACAACCTATTCGGCTCTTTTACAGAGTTTTACCTTCTGTAAATTTGTCATCCTTTGCCAAGACAACATTTGATGGTGTTGATTGGCATCTGTGGAAGACTGATAGACTTGGTGTAGTGTATGTGGAAAGGAGATTTGCTTTTTAGCAGGGAGCTGAAAATGGAGTTTCCATGTCTTATTGTGTATTATTCCCATGTATCCTATGAGACTGCTGTGCGAAGAGGAGAGTGAAGAAATACACAGTGGACTTGAAAATTTTGGGGGGAAAAAGAAAAAGTTTGAATGAAACTTCCAAAATGTCTTAGTGATTTATGGGCATCAGCTTTATTTGGAGATTGCTTGGTCTTGTGTACTCAAGGTGTGGATATGTGTTTGCTGATCTTCCCATCTGTCAGCTTTTCAAACACTTTTCTTACCACTGTATGAGAATTCAAACCCGTGGTTAACTTCTATATTGTTTGTGTTTTGTTTTTTGTTTTTTTTAACACTCAGACAAGTGAGAGAGAGATTAAAGAAGCAAGTTGCTGAGATGAAGGAGAAGTTTCCAGGTTTCACACCAGGACTTGCGATTTTGCAGGTATTGTTTTCTTTAATGACAACTAAAGAAAATCTTTGTTGCTTTGCTGTGTTAAGTGGGCAACTGATGAGCTTCAGCAAAACTGCTTTGCAAAATAGTAGCATTTTGTAAGGAAGTGGAGTGCAAAGCACCATGTGGGGTGTTAATGCAGTTCTGTGATGTTTCATCTTTGCATTTTTATGAGCCCTAAAGTCTGTCAGCTCTAACAGATGTGATTGCACCAGATATTGCTGAGGTTAATAAGGAATTTGATCAGCTGTTACATGAGAGCATGAGAGAGAGAAGTGAACAAATCACCTCAGCCAAGAAGACCTTGAGTGCAGAGGATTGAATTCTCATTGCTGAAATTGATGTTTGTCAGAAGCTTGAGTAGGTGCTAGAATCTACGTGTAAATGCTTGTGAATGGAAAAAATGCTCTTATCAGTTCAGGTTTGGGGCCTATATTTGGCAGAATTAAGTGGTTGGTTTGTTTTTTTCCATTATAGCTATAAAAAATGGAAACTTTTTGGTATGCTTAGATCTGAAGGTGAGTAGTAGTAACAGCTGTCACATATGGATGGAACTGCGTGGCCACAAGCAGATTGAAAATGGCTGTCCAGAGAATGGGCTTCTGTCTTTATTATTTAGGGCTTCTGCAGAGCAAACTCTGCTTTCAGTCACTAAGACCACTTTAGTACATGAAGAACATGTTCCTCTTCAATGCCAGGAACAAATCCGTGTTGTTGGTTTTTTTTTGTTTGTTTGTTTTTGTAGTTATTTTTCATTAGCTTTAAGATCAGCTCTACAGAAGACTTGTCTTCAGGTATTTAGTGGGAAGGGGGAAGTTCCTTGATTTAAAATTCAGTAAGGGACAAAAATGTTACTGCAATCTTTTCTTGGTTGATCTATTTTCTCTTTAAACCAGGGTTGTTTCAGTCATAAATCCTTTACAATCTCTTTGCTCTCCAACACTTTTGTAAGCTATCAAACTGCCTCGGTAGCAGAAGTTCAAATAGAGATATTCTCAACTGTTTTTCAGTTATGTTGGGACAATCAGATATTTCTGATATACAGCACCTCACCAGCTCTATTCCTGGGAGGTATCTGGTGTCCTCCAAGCTGGAAGAATGAGTCAGTTATCTTTTATTTTTGTTCTGTAGTCAAGAAAATCCTCTTTTACACACTGCATGTCGTCTTTTTGCTAACATGTCTCTTCTGCCTATATGATGCATCATTTTTCCTAAACTCAGCAGACTCTACAAGGGAGACAGCCTCTTTGTATAAGCCCAGGAAAGAAGTGCATGCTGGTTGACTGGCTAATACAGTCATCCTTGCAGCTTGTGATCTGTGTGAGAAATAGGGATAGCTAGTATTAGAGACCTGGATTTCAGGAATTTTCTTAATATGTTTTTCCTGTTTGCCCTTTGTTTTCGAACAGTTACAAGGAGAACTACCTTTAGCCAAAACATACTGGATGATGCAAACACTTGTACTGTAATCACCCAATTCTGCCAAAGCTACAGACACTTGTTCTACTTGCTGCTTTCTCTTTGTGCATTGCACTGTTTTTACTTTCTTGGTTTTTCTTATTTGATGAAAAAATTCTCAAGGTATGAAACAGCAGTGGCAGAAACTTCTCCATAAAGGCAAATGTGTATAAAATTAAGATTCCTGGGTATCAAAGGGGAACAACTTTTTAAAAGCCTCATTCAGATAATTGGATGTTATCGGCACCTACTGATCATGTTAATTAACTTTTTCAGATGAGATGGCAAGCAATATTTTCTGCTTTTCTGCTTCATTGTGTTTTTCAGGGTTTTCTAACAGATGTTAATGGTAGTTAGGCAGGAGATCAGACAACCTCTCTTTAGCTGCCTCTTACTTGAAAGAACACTTTCCTGTTAAGTCCAGATGCTTTTAGTTTATATCAGTGTGGTATGGCTATTCAAGAATACCTTTTTCTCTTCGCTGTAGCTTTGAGGAAGCTGAGGGTTAAGCCATTCTCAGCCTGTGGCTGGGTCTCTACTCTGCAGGGGGACTCAACTGTCTTTTCAACCTTAGGTTGGAAATCGGGATGATTCAAACCTCTACATTAATATGAAGCTGAAGGCTGCTGCTGAGGTAATGCCCAAACCGATAATTTTTTTTTTTTTTTTACCTCCCTAAAATAGGTCCATTCAGAACATGAAATTACAGATGTGAGCCAAATAGCTTTGTTTAAGCTTTGTGTGTATTGGAGAAACCAGTGCTAGCCTGAATTCCTTGTTATAGAGGAATAATACAAATGTGTAATCTGATGTCGAGTGGGGTACTCTGCGGGTTGGAGCTGATTACCTAAGGTTACCTAAATGATATGTCTGAAGTACTGATGTTCTGCATGTACTGACCTGTGGCCATGTGCTGACTTTCTCTCAGTTTCTTGTTGATACATAGCTGCAGTTGTCTTACATCTGTCACCAAGAGGTCCATTGCATGCTACAGCAGGGCTGGGAATCTAATGAGTCCCTGTTCTCCTAGGTGACAGCTGGCATCTATGCTGGCATCTCAGAGCAATATGCTGTCAAGCCAAGATGCAGTTGTTCATGCCAAAAGGTGAATGGGACAGTTGAAAGATGGGCCAATATAAGTAGGCAAAGCACTAATTTTTCATTGTCTTCACTGGTGGCATTTCCAAATAAAAGGACTGTAGCAACAGAAATAGGAGATAGACCTGGAAAATGTGACAAAATGTAGATGAGGGTGAACTTGACTGAAAGAACAGGCAGATCAATTTCTGGTGTCATTTCAGAAATCGGATAATTTCTGGGTATTCTCATTTGCAGATTGGGATCAGTGCCAATCACATAAAACTGCCAAACACAGCAACAGAAGCTGAGGTAAGTAATGTAGTTAATAAAGAAAAATCATGTAATTTCAAATTCAAGCTAAAGGGGTAAAGTTATTTTTTTGTAAAAATAGGAGGGAAAGACTGCTTGTCTGCAGATACTAACTCATGAAAGAAGAACAGGAACCTGATGAGTTTGTGTTTTTTTGTTTTTTGTTTGTTTTTTTTTTTTTAAGAAAGCTAAAACACAACTACATAAAATTTAGAAACTTTAGCAGATGTGTTTTTCAGAATAAAAAATGTGAGTCATTCATATGTTTTGGGTGGAAAAAAAAAAAAGTGTGTTCTGTGTCTTTTAATCCACATAGGGTTGTGTTGTGGTGTTTTTACCTTCTATTAATCTTGCTTCAGTTTATCAGCCACTAGGTTTTTGGTCTTTGCTTGTAGGTCCTCAAGTGCATTGCTTCTTTGAATGGAGACCCTGCTGTTCATGGCTTTATAGTGCAGCTGCCCCTTGACTCTGATAAACCTATCAATACCGAAAAAATAACCAATGCTGTTGCACCTGAGAAGGATGTAGATGGGTAAGCTGACATCAGCCCTAGAGAACATCGCAGCTACTCCAGAATTAGACCTTTTTTTTTTTTCTTTTTCCTTCCTCCCCTTCCTTTTTAACTGGTAATTTGAGACTGGGAATTTACTTGGCCTTTTTATTCTTTCAAAATACAGCTTAAGTAGCATCAATGCTGGGAAACTGTCTAGAGGAGACCTTGGAGACTGCTTTATTCCCTGTACTCCAAAAGGATGCATGGAACTTATCAGACAGACAGGTAAGGAGGTTTTCATTATTCATGAATGCAATAGTCTTCAATGAGAGGAGAAATTATGCTGCAAGGCTGTCTCTCAGACTGAAACTTTTACTGAGTTGCCACGTTTCATCTCTGCCTTTTCAAATAGGAAAACAGCTAGTTTAAAGCAATGCAAAACCCAAAAGATAAGTAGTATCCTGAAAAATAGTATCAAGACACATACTGACCAACATACTCTGGAGCTACTTGAGAATGGAATGCAGAATGACATTTCATTTTCTCCGACCTTCCTGTGGTACAGGCATCCAGGTTACGGGGAAAAGAGCTGTAGTGGTTGGTCGCAGTAAGATCGTTGGTGCTCCTATGCATGACCTGCTGCTCTGGAATCATGCAACAGTAACCACTTGCCATTCAAAGACCTCAACTCTGGCTGAGGAGGTAAGGGAAGGGATGGACTTATGAGGCTGTAGTTATGTACTGCAAGCCAATGCTGCCAGCTGTATGTTTTTGCCTGATGTTGTTTAAGTCAGTGGGTCTGGGTTGTTTTTCATTTGAAATAGTTTTCCAGTATTGTTCATTGAATGGCTGCATGAATCTACTGCTGTTGAAGGTCCTTACTTAGAGGGTTGCAATTATAACAATAAAATTACTATTATTTTATTCAGGCAAGTACTGGGAATTTAATCATTCCTTCCTAATTTCCAAGCAGTGGCCTGCAAGACAGTATATGTTTTTGTTTGTTTGTTTTTTCCCTAAAAAAAATCTAAGTGATCATCTACTTTCATGGCTAGGAAATGCTAGACCAAATTCCTTCTCCATGTTTTTTTTCTAGTCTGTTTTTTTATGACTGGGAGTTTGTACCATTTTCTTCTTTAGCAGTAAGAGGGACAGAAATAGTGTGTTGCTGTGCTGCCACCTACTTGAATTTTGTTGAGCAATCAACACTGCCAGGCTTTATAGGCAAGTATCAAAGCTGGAAAGGGGGTAGGTGTACTTGAATATAACTCAAATGCAAGATCAGAAACACTGCAGTTCCACTATGTTGCTGTTCAAGAAGACTGTCATTAGGCTGATTAACAATGGAAGTGCTAATTTGTAATGAAATCTTAAAAATAGCTCATCTCTGTCATGGATACAAAGAAAAAAAATCCAGTAGATAGCAGCTTCCTAAGGATACAAATGAAGCAGCAGGGGAAGTAGCAGGGAGCTTTTGTCCAAGGTTCTGGGAGTAACTTTGTGACCAGATCTGTCATACTTGCTGATTATTGTCTGAACAAATACTGGTGCTGAATTACAATCAGCTTCCCCAGGTCTTGCATGTTACACAGTCCTGGATATAAAAACCACAACAGTGCTGCCACAAATGAAATGCAGCTTACTGTTCTGTGTAGGGGTTGTTCTTGTCAGCTGTCTGATGAGTTCTGGGTGTATTTCTAGTAGTGAGAAGTAGATAATATGCAGCTTAATATGCAGGGATATTGGAAGGAAAGAAGATCAGAGTATGCAGAAGGCTTTCATCTAAAAGTAGTGTGTATCATCCATTTGGGAATCATGGAAGAGTTCAAAGGAGGTTGTGAAGTGTTGACTAGCAACAGTTCAGGGTAGGAGCCTGAAAATAGGCTGCAATTTCTGGCTGTGGGAATTTGTCCTTGCCAAGAACTGTTAGCTACCTTTCATTGCTGATGATGTTCTTCCAATCCTCTAGATGCAATGGGTGAGCACACAGTTTTGCTACAACTGAAAGTAATTTAAGTTGCTGTTGGAGCAGCTCAGCCTTTTTCTATTGTTGGTGTGATATAGAGTTGTTTGTATGGATATATATATTTTTTTTTAGGTTGCTAAAGCTGATATCCTGGTGGTTGCAGCTGGCAAAGCTGAAATGGTGAAAGGTGAATGGATCAAACCTGGTGCAATTGTAATAGACTGTGGAATTAACCATGTGCCAGGTGCGTGGGTAATGTATAAAGAGTGGGGATTTATTTGTATATAAATGCAGTTGCTATGTAAGTACATGGATACAGTTTCCTTGGTATTTCTAGTCCATATGGATTTATTTCTCATCTAAGTCTGTCTTAGGTAATGATGGCAACCCCTCTGAAGATTCAAGAATAAAACAAAGATGGTTTTGAAGTACTGTTGTGAAGCAGATCAGTGATAGTTTTGTTTCTGCCATCAATGAGACTGATTATCTGTAGAGAAAAGAGGAGGCCTATGTAGTATTACAACATAGTATCTATGTAATTTGCCACATCTATATAGCTAAATCCTGCTGCTATTGTCACTTGTGAGCGTGCAGCTTTGCTGTCATTAATTTGCACAGTTAGATCTCATTAAGCCGTTCTGTTTGAAACACATAAATGGCAAGCAGTCTCTTAAAGTAGCTGTGGATTTTGTTGAATCATAACATTAAGTTCTTAGATTTGAATGACTGTTGTCTTGAAACAAAGCAGGTGCTGCAAGAAAATTGGTGACAGTGGCTCTGGCACAGAACAAAGTGCTTGAACATAATGGATTTGGGGGTAGGGTTTCATTTAGCTGAGGAACAGGCAGTCTGGCAATTTCTGTTTTCACCTCATTTTAAATCCAAATTGCAGATATTCAATGATATGGAAAATTAGTCACCATCCAACTATCTCTCTGCTACACCCACAGGGTTTTTAGAAGGTAGTTTTCATAATTAATCAGTCATCTTGTTGCCATTTAATGGAATGTAAAGAAACTTCTACTCAACAGTCTTATTCCTCAAAAATGACGCTGATTTGCGTTAAAAGCCATTAATCCTCTGTCTAATTAAAGTTTAAAAAAAAAAAAAAACAAACCTGTCGGCTGTTGCTATTTGTTTGTTGAAATATTTGTGCCAAGCTTCCCAAAGTTAGGCAGTTTGCCAAGAAGCAGAGTCACTGTTGTTATTGGTGAAGCAGAGAGGTCTGGGCACTACCCTACTCATGTGTACCGTCACATTTCTGACATGATGACTTTTTTTTTTTTCAGGCTTGATGTGAATTGTATCTCTGTGGTCACATCCCTGTTTCTTTGCAGTTTGCCTTGGCAGTGCACTGAGGTCTGGGTTTCTTATACTACCAACCTACTCAGTGTTATATGCCAGTTTATTTATGACACTGTGTGAAGCAAACTGGTCAGGGCTTGATAGCGTAGAGTTATCAGTGCTAGCCATGATGATGTTTTGAACGTTGGTGAGATAAATAGCACAGTTGACATATGTCTTACCATAGTTTTAAGTGCACCCAGCTAGGTCCCTGCTAGGTGTTCATGTGATTGCAGCTGAAGAAAAGAGAAATCTCTGGATGTGCAGATGTAGGATGCATCGGGCCTTGCATTTATGTGTTACAATTGAACAGAATTTCTTCCAGGTCTCTCAGTAGAGAGAGAGGGAGAGAGGACCTCCTGAAACCTTTACAGAGAAGTGTGTCTTTTCTAAACATCATCATATTCGTATTTCTCTCCTTACTGATGCAGGTGATTGCTAGTTCAGCACGTGTTCTGAATGCCTTATTCCAGGCCTGTAGGAGTTGCTTTGCTACGGGAACGAAGAGCGTTGCAGGCAGAGAAGTTTCCCAGAAATGGCAGTGTTTGAAGTGTCCCTCTGTGACTCCTGATGGAGGAAGTGTTCCTATTCAGAGGATTCCTCTGACATGGGATTTTGCAGCTCTAGCCAATGAAGAACTTTAAACAGCAGAATGCGAGAGCAGCGAAGGAGGATCTGCTTCCTTTGATTTCTGTGCCATGCTCTTCAAACAGCAAGGGAGCCAGAAAGATGCTGTAGGAAGTCTTGACCTCATGATGTTTATATCTCTGTGTTCTGGGAATTGAGTTGGCACCGCACACCAATAAAACCAGATTGTATTGAATCTGTTGTCAGACATCTTTCCCAGAAAACAAGTCAGCCCACAAAAATGTTGTATATATGAGGGTCAAGTACGATCTTGTATGCTTGCTAGGTCTGTACACTGACTTGTGTCAGTGTACACTGCTATAACATACAAGTTTACAATGTGAATATTCCCAGCTCCGTTCTTACCAAAGTAGGACTGTAAATTAGTTCTGCAATTGGACCTGCAGCACCCCAGAGATAGATAGAGATCACTGTACCTGTTCATTACATACGTGCAGGCGTGTCCTTCATCTTTTAGATCTCATAGACCTTGGATACTGTCCGTCATATGTTCTAGCTAGCTGGATAACCTACTGTACCAAAGAAGACACAGGCAGAGGGAACGGTTGTCAGTGTCACTGATGCTTTCTGTAACTCTGTAATTTAAGGCCAGAATGATGAATATTAAGAAGATAAAATTCATGGGAAAAAGCAGAAAGCGTTGCATATGAGTTTTCCTTCAAACTGATTCTGATTTTTAAAGGTCACTGGATGACATCTCAGTTGTTCTCAGCAGCACTTGGCATAAAGTGTGATTGCAGGGGTAAGGACGTAGGATTTGTTTGGTTTGTGCTCATCACAGTGTTCTCTTGTGTAGCAGATCAGGCTGTTTGTATTTGAAGTCATGTGTTTCATCACTTGATTTCTTCATTTTGAGGTCTGGAGCCTTTCTGACTGGGGTGGTTGGTAAGCTTGCTTGGAATCCAAGGAAGAAAATATAATCATACTATTTGCCATTTGCAAACTTAATTAATCCTGCTGTCTGGGCCGGAAGGCCGGGCTGGTCTGCAGTTTGGGAAGTAAAACTTGACAGTTGCTGTAGAAACAATGTTAACAGCTGTGACTTAGTTCAAAGCTTGAACTTTAGGGAAAATGTTGCTTAAAACACACCTTTAGTAGAACACCTAAACAACTGATTGTCAGTAACAGTGCAGCTAAACTTCTGTGTTGATAGGAGCTGCTTTTGTTCCCTCTTGCATTTTACCACAGTAAGCTGTTAATGAGTTTGCTTTCTCTTACATTCTTCCTCCTCATCAAATGTATGCATGAATAGAACATATTAACTTTAGCATACATTTGTGGTATGCAAGATAATATTTCAATTTAACAGTATTAAAATCTGTCACGTGTTTTTTCACACTGCTTAACATTTTCTCAAGTCCTGATACCTGAAATAAGGATCTGCTACTCCAGGAGAAACTTATTTGCTTTTTTTTGTTATACTGTGTCCATAACTGGTGAGTTCCTTAGATGATTCTCATAGTTTATTAATGCATTTTGTCTTTTTGTCTCCTGTGGGTGACCTTAAATTTCATGTAGTGTAGCAGGTAGTAGCATTTGTTTCTGCCAGAAAGGAGGTTGTTCTGCTGGAGTTCTCTTAAGTCATCTGTGAGGTTGGTTTTGATGAGACTGTTCTCTGTGACTGTAGTATGTACCAGTCCATCATTAAAATGGCAATAAGTAATAGAAAAGTTCAGCACTTTCTGATTTCAGTTTCTGTAAAGATAGATAATTTTATTCAATAGTAAGGTCTAGATTTCCTCCAAATTGGAACAGCTATTTTCCTTTAGTGTCTTTTAGATCATTGATTCATATCTCCTTAATACTGAAAGTTTACTATGTCTTCAGAGCAGTACAGCAAGATTTGTGAGAGTGTGGTTAATGTGACATCTCTGTATGTCCTGTTTGTGTGCTCTACATGCACAGATGTAAGATCTGTATGCTTTGCTTCCCCCAGCTGCTAGAAGCATTTGTTTTGGAGTCTTCACGTTGCCTTGTGGCAATCTCAATTCCGTTGAGAAAATATTTGATTCTCAAGAAATGGGAGACCCTCTGATCAGTCTGGCTGATAATAAATGGCACTTAATGGGAAGATGTAGTGTATGAGCCCTGATGTTCTGGGTGAAGTATGGTGATAACAGTTTCGTCTTAGGGTGTTGTTTTGTTTTGCAGCTTCCTGTATACTTAGCTGCTGATTTGGTTATTCCAACAGAGGAAAGGACTTCAGCTTCAGTCACTGCTCTTCTCTCTGTGTAACTTATTCTTTCCTTAAATCTCCAGATAGCACAAAGGCCAGTGGAAAAAGAGTTGTTGGAGATGTGGCATACGCAACAGCAAAAGAGAAAGCTTCTTACATTACCCCAGTTCCTGGTGGTGTTGGACCGATGACTGTGGCCATGTTAATGCAGGTATGTGAACAGAGTGTGGGCCATCACGAGTCATCTCCTCTGTGTTTGCTTTTGGGGTATATTGCTGCTGGCCATCAGCACACTAGGAAGAGAAGTTGGTGCTTCCTCCTTGCTCTTATGGAAGCGTAGTTAGTATTTGCAGACCAATGAAGATGAATGTGAAGAAAATGTTAGGAGGAACAACCGCCTTTTGGATTTTTGTGCATGTGTGGTTTTTTTGTTTTTTTTTTTTTAAACTGTATATTCTCGAAACTATGAGAACTGGTTTGTTTGACAAAACTCTGGATGTAATTCTAAAACTCTCCATAAGGTAATGTGATAAGGAGGAGAAGGTTAGCAGAGGAAAGCTGCTCCCTCTGTTTCTTATTTTGCTTAAGAGACGGTACTGACACACAACACCAAAAAAAAAAAAAAAAAAAAAGCACAGTAAAAGATGTTACATATATATATTAATATTTATATATAAATAGTATATCTCGCAGGACTGGATTTTTATCTATCAGTATCTCTACAGATCTAGGCAAATCTGTCTGTATTCCTCTCAAGGAAATTCAAAGCAAAACCTCATTCTGCATTGTTAGCAATAGTTCTAAATTAAAGCACTGTATATTAGTCCAAACTGAGATAAAGAGGAGGGGAAAACTCGTATAAGACTCTGTTAACCAACAAGATTCCTACAGCATTTGTTGCTGTAATGCCTTTTCATGCTTGATTTAGAGTACAGTGGAGAGCGCGCAGCGTTTTCTGGAGAAATTCCAGCCTGGAAAATGGAACATCCAATACAACCAGCTTACCCTAAAGATGCCTGTTCCAAGGTAATGCTTTCAGTGAAGGTACTGACGATATTCATGCGTTGTAGTAATCACTTCTGGGGGCAAGTTTTGTATAACATAGGGCAAACAAGTATGTAGAGTGTGGCTGGGGTTGAAGTTTGGAGAGATGTAGAGAGAAAGCAATGCAAGGTCTTCCAGGTGAGCCGAGCTAACCATCAGTGGTCCTGTGGCACATGCTGAAATATAGGCTTGGGTCATCCTTATAACATTAAGGTATAAATACAGTTTTCCACAGACATTTTGTATGAGCTAGATACTTGCTGACTCAGCATGTAGAATTTTTATATCTGACATGGCAAAAACCTAGTACCTTAAAGTGGGATTTGGTAGAATCCACAAGGATTTGAAAATAAATGTGATAGCAGAGCCTTACATGGTATCTACAGAAAGTCATTCTTTTTATATAATTTTGCTTGTTTAATTTTATTGTTGTTGTTGCCCTCTGAAGATCCTTGTATTCTACTGTAGCCAATATTGGTGGAATTGATTCTTTTAATTAGGAAAGGGTGAAGCTTCCCTTTCAGAATGTAGATTGAGTGCTTTTGACTCATGCTGCCAAAAGCAAGACATTTGTGAGAAGTCAGTAATATTTACTAATTGCCCTTGCTCTCTTCCTTTCAGTGACATTGAAATATCACGGTCTTGCATACCCAAGCCAATTGATCAAGTTGCAAAAGAAATTGGCCTCCTCCCAGACGAGATAGAGCTGTATGGCCAAACTAAAGCCAAGGTTCATCTGTCAGCTCTGAAACGTCTGAAGAACCAGCCTGATGGCAAATATGTCGTTGTTACTGGGTAGGTACTATGTTAACTAAGGAGACATCACTTACATGGTGTCAGGATGAAAAGAAATTTTGATAGCGTTGTTTGTCGTTGTATTGTCTTATGGTAAGCTGACTATATGAAGTATTGGCATTAACTGCAGTCACTAGGTTTCTGTATTATGCCTGTAAGTGTTTTGAGGCTCACCTACTATATGAGCTTCATTGTATCTGTTGTACTTTCTCACTGCAGGATTACTCCCACACCTCTGGGAGAGGGGAAAAGCACCACCACCATAGGTCTTGTTCAAGCCTTAGGAGCGCACCTTCACCAGAATGTCTTTGCTTGTGTTCGGCAGCCTTCTCAGGGACCAACCTTTGGTATAAAAGGTATGAGCTGACTAAATGGGAGAAGATAGCAGGATGAAAATCTTTGAATGCTGCATTGTAGTTTTACGTAATTCCCAGTTAGGAATTAGGCATTTCTTTAAGAAAGAAAAAACCTTGGTTTTCTCACACCTTCTTCAGTGTTTCCTTAAGTGCTATGCTGGGACATTAACTAAGCTGCCTTCTTAAAGTCGTAATAAAATACATATTTTACCACCCTGAGCTAGAGAAGCCTTTATTTGCTTGATTTGACTGTTGTCTTCCATAGGAGGAGCTGCTGGAGGTGGCTATTCTCAAATTGTTCCCATGGAAGAGGTAATTGTTAATACAAAGTCTCATTGCACAGTTAGCTTGCAGACTTTGAATAAATATTGCAGTCAGATAACTTAATTTTTTTTTCCTACATCCCAGAGTAGCATTGCAAGAATGATTGCTTGATTTCAGCAAAGCCTTTTTAGAAAATGGACTTCTTTGTTTGTTTCAGAAGAGTGTCTGCATGGTCAGGGAATTTCACAGAGCTGAGAATTCCCTGTCCCTCTGTCCCCTCCCCTCCTCTGCCCCGAATTACTGCATACCCTTGAGCAGAGTACATCCTGTACCTCTTTTTCCCAGCACTGAAATTAAGATTATAATGACTTAATATATTTTGGAAGCATATTAAATAGTTCTGTCAGCAAGAGTGGTCGTTGACTCCTTCTGTGAGCTATTTTGGTGTGCTTATGTTTTAGATTACTGACGTGGAATGGGAAAAGGGAAAATGCAAATCAATAATGCCAAGACCTCAGCCTGTGGGTGACTGGCACTGCATTGCTTTTTTAATGTGACTTGGCAGCAAGTAAAATCCTCTGTCTAGAGGCAGGGAACTGATAGGCACATGTAGCTCATGCTCTTGTGCATCCCCCAACTCTCTTGTAATTACCTGTAGAATCTTACCTTTGTCTTGTGCACCTTAGGTTGACAGAGGACAGTTTTTGGAGGAAAAGCAAAAATGGTTAAAAGGGCTCTTTGTTCCTATTGGTGCAGCAAGTCCAGAGAAGATTTGATGGGGGTTGGAGAGGAATGAAAAAATGTTAAGGAGGCAGTTGATTGATTTAGTCATGTGCCAAAAACATGTATGAATGATAGATGTGACAGGAACAATAATCTCCTCCTGTTTGAGAGTGTTAGTAAGACAAGGTAAAAGACTGGAGTGTGTGCAGCAGTGGGAAACAGAGTCACACTTGAAATAAACTGGCTGAAAGTTGCCCCAGGAGGTTGTGGATGCCCCATCCCTGGAGGCATTCAAGGCCAGGCTGGATGTGGCTCTGGGCAGCCTGGTCTGCTGGTTGGCGACCCTGCACGTAGCAGGGGGGTTGAAACTAAATGAGCATTGTGGTCCTTTTCAACCCAAGCCATTCTATGATTCTGTGATATATGAAAGGATTTCAAGTAGAAGTCCTTTGTACTGCATGTTAGGAAAATATGTTGTGGTCTTGTGGAAGTATTTTAATCAGTGCGTGACTTCAAGTACTAACATTTTATGATAAAGTAGATGCAATAATGACCTTGATACACCATCAGATGTTTCTGCATGCAGTTTTCATCCCAGAAAATTATTAGCAAGTGAGACATTCTTCAATGATGACTGTAGAATTGAGGTAGTAATAATTGCTTCTTATTGCATATATGTAGAATAAGAAAAATTGGCATTTCCTAGTTAGGATTTATAACTACTGTGTGACTAGTTCCACTCTGGTTTTTTTGCTGTTTGGTTTATAAGACCACAGTAGCAGGGCTTTGACACAGTGGTATCACAGTCTTCTGTCATACCACTTTTTTACTGTCAATTTTTCATCTTCCTCCTGTTCTGCACTGCTACAGAGGAAAAGAATCTTCTTAACACCAACCTTTCCTTCTCTGCCCTAATACAGATTTGTCAAATAAACTCTATATCCAAAATCTTTTTTCAGTATAGCTACAGTGCAGGAAGAAAATTCACGTAGACAAACCCACTCAAACAGTCTTTTAATGAGATAGAACCTAGAAAATTACTAGCGTTGTGACTGTGTAGTATGTGGTCTGCAAGGCCTGCCTACGGTACTGTGTGTGAGTGGTTAGCTTATGCAGAGCTCTTTGCAACCACAGCTCTGTTTCAAGCCAGCACCCTTGGGTGGTGCTAGCATTTAGCTGAGATATGTTTGTGGGAGCAGCAGGAGCTTTAGCTAAGGTATGTGTGAAGCCTGTTGTGCAAATGATGTGAGTGGGTCAGAAGGAAGGGGAAGGAGGAGCAATGCAGATATGCCGTACCATGTTGTTCTCAGATGTTAAGGAATGGTTCTTGTGTAAAAAATCTTATTTGGAAGCTCTGTTCTGGAAGTTTGTAAAATGACATAAATGTGGGGGAGGCATTTTTCTGTTTTAGAGAAATTCTTTCCTCTCTTCCACACGCTGCACTGAGCAATCTCTTCCCCCTCCACCCTCACTCACTTCAGTGTTGCTATTAATATGTCTCTCTCCACCTGTCTACGATGTATTGAAATATATGAAAATTGCAGCAAGATGAGATAAGTGATATGTTCTGTGTCCTTCAGTTTAACCTTCACCTCACTGGTGACATCCATGCTATCACTGCAGCGAACAACCTGGTTGCTGCTGCTGTGGACACACGTATATTCCATGAGCTAACTCAGAGCGACCAGGTAGGATCCTTTCTTCTCATGTATTTCAACCCATCTCATTCTGGTCAAGATGTTTGGGGTGTGCCAGCAGTGCTAAGTGTATCTTTTGTTCTGCCAGGCCCTCTATAACCGTTTGGTGCCTTCTGTCAACGGTGTCAGGAAGTTCTCAGAGATTCAAATCCGAAGACTACAAGTAAGTTCACTAGTTTCACTCTGGTTTCTGATTCAGTTCCACTTACTCCACCTTTATGTATTCTGAGTTTGGTTACAAAAGCATTTGTGTCACAGAATCACCTAGGCTGAAAAAGACCTTCAGGATCATAGCCTGACTTATGGAGTAGCCCCATCGCTAAACTTTGTCCCTTAGTGCCATGTCTGCATACCTCTTAAATACCTCTAGGGATGAGTATTCCACCATTTCCCTAGGCACCCTTTCCACAAAGAAATTCTTCCTAATAGCCATTTTAAACCTCCCCTGGCTCAGCTTGAGACTGCTTCCTTGCACTCTATCACTTATCATCTGTTTAAGAAACTCACTAGACCAACCAACAACTGGATTGTCATTCTGCTAGCATTTGTTTTCTGCATCAAGCGTGCAAAAGTCTGGTAGCCCATGTTACAGCACAGATAACAGTGAGATGAAGCTTCAAGGGGAAGAATCGTTGATTTGACTTGTTATATGCTGTGTGAGTAACACAGTGGGAAGAAGCAGAGAGATTAGTGCCCTTTGTTAATAGTGACAATTTAGTGTTCTTAATGTAGTTTCAGAAAAGACCAGCATTAGTCTTTGTCCCTTACAGTCAGCTACAGATAAAGATGAATAATTCCTGTTCATGTGATAGCCATATAGATGATGCAGCACGAAAAGGACAGTTTACAAAATTCAGCAAAAAGAGAAGGTAAAGATTTTCTTGTCTTATTCAGATTGAGCAAGCAGGAAACAAGAAAAAATGTGTGTCCCCTACATCCCTTACTTCTTGGCTCAGGAAAAAGAATCTCAGTTAAATGAGTACAGCTACCATTGAACATTGGACCCTGAGCAGGTCACAGTTCCTCAGTTCTCAGTAATGAATGTGAACCTGTGTGTGTCCCTGGCCTCTTCAAAAATGAGGAACGAGTAATTTTTGCATTGAGCTTGAACCTTCTGTCTAGAAGGACAAAGTGGGGCCTGCTAAGCTTATTCCAAGAACAAACCTGTTTGAATGGTATTCATGCTCTGTCAGTTGCCCACTTGGAGGCCAAGACCAATAGAATACTTAGGAAGATAAAACTCTGATTTATTAACTAACTATAATTTTTCTACCATTAGAAAATACGTGGCTTGCTTCACTGCTGAGCACAGTAGCTCTGTCATGTGGCTTGGTAGACTGTAAGGATGCTAATACTCGAGAAAGAGGATCTTTTTCATGGTATGGTGGGGATTTGTTTGTTTGTTTATTATGCTGTACTTGAAGAGGAAGAGAACAGACCTCTTTCTTCCCTGCTGTTCTTCTGGAGAAAGTAGGACTTAGCTGTCTAGTTAATTAAAAAAGGCTTGTTCGTTCATAAATCAACTCAATCGTATTCTTCATTTTTAAGCTTGCACTTGTATCAGTCTTGAGATAATTCTTCTCTCAATTAAGCAACTTGGCAAACTGCCCATCCTCTCAGTATGTTCAGGATCAGCTTTCTGGGATGCCGACAGCCTTGTGACCGAATTGTTTAATTCCTCCTTTGTGCTGCTTAACCAGCGTGCTGAAAGCCATGTCTTCAAATATGTATGGCTGTGTGCAGTGACCCTAGGCAAACTAATGAGAAATGGATGTAAGCATGTGAAACTAATGATTAGAACAAGGCATGTAAGAAACTGCAGAGCTTTCTTTCTTATGTTTTCTGTAGATGCCTTGCACAAAATTAGGTGACAGGCTGCCCTGACAAGCTCTATTATCTGCACTGCCGTTTGCTAGTTGGCAAGCAGCAAGCTCTGCTTCCAGATTTACACTGATATGGATCAATTTATGTTGCTGTGGGACTTGAAGGGAAAGTGGTAGGGCATTTCCTCCTTATTTCTAAATATTCATGTGCTGCTGCCAAAGGTTAATTGTAGTGAAAGGTTCATTTCTCTAAATCTTTTCATGTTACTTTATTATTATTATTTTTTTTTTTCCTCCCACAGAAATTGGGAATTAGCAAAACTGATCCTGCAGCCTTGACAAAGGAGGAAGTAAACTTATTTGTGAGATTAGACATTGATCCAGCCACCATAACATGGCAAAGAGGTACAATAACATTGAATTAAAGTATTGCTAAAAAAAAAAAAACAACACCAAAACTTATCAAATGAAGTTGCAAGTACAGAAAGAACAAAGTTTTCTGGGATAAAGGGAAGCAAAGCAGTGCTGGTCTCTCTATTTGGTGGGATGGGTGCCTGCAGATGGGATCCTGTTTCTAAAGGGTCTGACACCAGGACTTGAATCTTAATCTTTGAGAGTTCAGACTGGGCCTCACTAATTGGAGCAAGTTTCTGCTTGTGGTTTTGATGGTCACTGAGAGAGTTTTCAGTTTGGCAACCATAGCAGACAGTCTTTCTGCCTGCTCATTTGAGAAAGCACTGAGAGCGAGGAGAGGCTACTGCTCTGGAATTAAACTGAATTTTAGTCTGCCCACTTGCTCTCTTGGGGACTGACAGCAGAAAAAGGCTCAATGTTTTTTTAAAACGTGTTTAAAGATACCTCGAGTAAGATCAATCTCTGGTCTTACTGAATTAATATTTCACTAACGAAATGAATTTCAGATAAGAGGGGGAGGGTGGAGAAAGGTGATTTAGACCCCAAGAGTGTTGCTTTTCCTTCTTTTTATGAAAATACGATGTGAAATTATTCTCCAAAATTTGCTTCATAACCTATAATGGAGCTAAATTAGTCTGCCTCGTGGGAAGTATTTAGAATTTTTCGAGAAGCTAGTTTTAAAAAAAAAAAAAAAAACAAATCCAAAAAAACAGCAAATTTAAGCCAGTATTTGATCGTTTGTGTTTCAAGGGTAATTTGAGCTAATGGGGTTATAGGGAATGTCATTAAATAGTAGAATCTGACCGTTTTATCCTTTCATTTACAAAATGATAATTTCATTTCTTTTTTCCATAGTAATTTCCTGATTTCATTTTGACTAATAATGGTGAAAAAGAAATTGGAATAATACCAGCAGCTCCTTTTTTCAGAGAGGTTTTTGGACTTGTGGTTATTGAGCACACAGGGAAGTAGACTTCTGGGTGTAGTGCAGTCTGCATTGACTGTGAGCATCTTAACATCATTGCAGTTCAGTTGGAGAGGATGGTGTCCCAACCTGCCTTCCTCTGTTCATGGCTTATCTAGCCAAGTGTTTGTGTTGGTATGTAAATGTGATTTAGGCCGTGCAATGTGAGTTCTTACATCTTTCTTTTTTCATCCTCCCAGTACTGGATACAAATGACAGGTTCCTTAGGAGAATCACTATTGGACAGTCTCCAACAGAAAAAGGCTTTTCACGAACGGTAATTATTCTTTCTTGCATCTTTTAAAAAAGCACTTTGAAAAACATGATCCTGAAGTAAACTTCAACTCCAGATGTTTGTCTTACTGGTACCTTGTTATAGAGACAGCAGAAAGTCTCTTTGGCCAAGCAGTTACATTTGCTACCAATGCAATGTGTAGTTTTAATATCTGTTCTTTTCATACCTTTCTTGATTGTTGGATTTCTGAATTGGGATAATTATGGCATAGTAACAGTGGCATATGAATGCTCTCTACAAATATGGTACGTGGCAATTGCTAATCTTATGCAGTGCACGTGCTTTGGGTGGGATGCATCTGGCTCTAATTCAACACAATATCTGAGCTTGTTATCTAGATACATTGTATACATAGAAAAATAGGCAATCAGGACCATGATTTCTTTCATCCTTTAAGTAACTATCAAATTAGTAGTTCAAATGAGTTGTGCCCATAGAAGCCTCTTTTTATTTACTAGAAAAGGTCTCTAGGGTGCCTAGCTTCAATGGAGGTATTGTGTTTTATCAGATGAATTCTACCTTTCGTTTGCTATAGAACCAATTGTTGGCATGTTTTTTTGTTTTTTCTTTGTCTTATACTGTACTGTTTAGCAATGGTTAGATGTGAGTTAGTAAGCTCAGTCTTCAAAAATGTATTGTTGGTGTTAATGTTCCTACATGAATCACCAGTTTTGTGCCAGGAGGGAGTCATGTAACAGCAATGGAATGAGTATATCTTACTTTAATTTGCAGAAAATAATCTGATTTGAAACTTTGAATTTAAATTGCATATATTCTGAGAGTAACATTTTAGATTTGTTCTCATGGATGTATGACTGTATTTATTTTTTATTATAATGGTGATAACTGATTTCCCCCCCCCCCCCCCCCAAGAATTTGAGTAAGGTAAAGATTTCTGCTGAGGAATCTTGATGAATTCACATCTTTATTTGTCTCTTGAAGGCTCAGTTTGACATCACAGTGAGCAGTGAAATCATGGCAGTTCTAGCACTCTCTGATGGCCTGGATGACATGAAAAAGCGACTGGGCAGAATGGTAGTAGCTTCCAGCAAGAGAGGAGAACCGGTTACAACAGATGACCTTGTAAGAGAGTCATTCCATTCTTGAATGCTAACTTTCTTCTATTACTTTTGAAAGTCCTTGGATTGAAAAACATTGAGATGGTTCTGTATGGTTACTATATAGAATATTAGAGATGAAATTTTAGTCTCTGGAGTTAGTAAGGTATTTCTACTTTAGTGTGGCTAGTGCCTTACACAGAGACTGTACATACATGTGTTTTGGGCAGGGACAAAGGGTTCTGTGCAATGTACTGTGTATCAAATCAAAACTAGCACCATAGAAACTAAGGAGAAGTACGTGGTGGGTTTTAAATAAAAAAAGCCTATTTACAAATGAGAAGAATTCAGAATGCATCCTGCTGGCCATCCGATTTTTTTAAGCTTCCTGGAGAAAAGAAAACATAAAGCAGGGACAAAGCCTGGTGCAAATTTAATTACAGATGATGAGATATCTTATGCTGAGAGGCTGTGAATGCTCTAAAAGTCGAACGTGTGGAAGGTTTCCATAAGGCAGCCTTTGTGAGAGGCACAAATCTATTTCTACTAAATGAAATGTTTAATGTTCAACTAGTGATGTCTGTTACCAGTATGTAGTTATAAGCAACAGCTGCAGTACTATCTTGCAACTGTCCACTGGTGCAGTTCTTGAAACCTTTGTGGAGTGTGTCAGTTAGAACTCTCCCATACAGTGCTTCGGCATTGTTCAGGGGACAGCTTGTGCTCCAGATGCTTTTTCCAATAAATATTTTGTAGGTAATAACCCTGTCTGGTGAAAGTGAAGGGAATTGAGCTCTCTATGTGAACTGTGCCCCATGACTTGGTCTCAAGACAGAGAACAGGCTCAGGACTGTTCCACTAGTCAGCAGAGGAGCACTACTGGTCTTCTGTTATGTTTTTGTTTTGTGTTCATCCCACAGTAACTCTAAGAAGCAGCTGATGGGCAGTACGGCCTGACTGTGGAACTTCAGCAAAAGAACTAGGCTGGGAAGCACTTATCTGTAAAGTGTCTTGATGTGAGACATTTGTTGGGTGTGAGAAGGAACATGTACCACAGTTCTGTAGGCAGCTTTGAGATTTTTAATTCCTGATGCTAATCTGCTGTCATGCTTTAACCTTAAGTACCTGAGTTAACCCCCCCATTCTGGAAAACAGAATCCTCCTGCTACCCATCAATGGTGGGAACCTGTGCAGGATTGCTCTATGAGTTTCACATGGGGTCTAAGACTTGTAGTTCTTAAGGCTTTTTTTTTTCTCTTTTTTTTTAAATTTTGTGTGCTGTAACTGGAATGGAGTATGATACCAGGTCTGTCCAACAGGTTCTTGGGTTTTGCACATTTTTGCAGTGGTGGGCATTGGCTTGCTTGGTTAGGACTGTGTTGCATGCCTCTCATACAGGCCAGACCATGGTGATTGTAGAGACCAGACTGGCACAATAAAATGTCCAGATCCTTCTGCTGTAATATAACCAGTATCATGAGGCTCAAAGGAACTGGGAAGAAATGAGGAATCAAAAACTAACTGGGTTTTCAGAGGAGATGTATTAAAGTGTTACTGATTGACAAGCCTGAAATGTCATCATGGAAATCTTGCTCTGTATCTTTCATTATTCTAGAGATGACTGAAGTTTAAAGCTTATCCATTAAATGTTAACTAAGCTTTCATGTGGCAAGATTGAGACTAATGAAACATAGCAGTGAATGTTTTTTAAAAAAATATAGATGTATAATTGAGTGCTGCAATTCAATTGACATTAAAAGTGAAGAAGAAATTGTCTTGAAAAACTTTCCCTGCTTTCTGCCATTGAATGGGGCACAGGAAAGCATGTGTACCTAAGGGTTACTCTCTTGCTACTCTTCCTTTCTCACCTCGTTATAGCACTGAAAGAGCAGTTTTTCTTTACTGCTAAGTAAGTTGGCTAAGCAAGGTCATAATGGAAGAGGCTGCATTCACCAGAAATCACCAATTGCTGCATATTCTGCAGCAACTGCTGGTTGTGTTCCTGCAAGCTCACCAGGAGGTCTTGACACAGTATAGGAACTGTCTCAATACATCTGGAAACTGATAGCTGTCTTTGTTTTTTCTTTTAGGGAGTGACTGGTGCTCTGGCTGTCTTGATGAAAGATGCTGTTAAGCCAAACCTCATGCAGACGCTAGAGGTGAGCACGGATGATTTCACTCTGTGTTCTCAGAAGCAAGGAGCATCTGGTCAAGCTCATTCATCACAGTCAGTGTGGACTTGCTCTGTTTAGACTTGGAAGCTTATTGTGGTTTCCTACCTAAGATTCAGGTCTGCATGTGGGATGGCTCTGGGGAAATGCAGTACCTTGCTGTGTCTGTTTTGTTGAGCAATGTCAGGAAATGTTTTGAAAATCTAGATGGTATGGGTGCAAGAGATTGGCAGAGTTGCTAAGATTTAGCCATCCATTTCCTAAGTGGGTTAATATCTCCACTTCTGCAGATTATAATAATCCAGTTGGCGATGCAGCCCTTAGTACTGATAACGAATACTTAATCAGAGGGCTTTAAGATCTGTTTTCTAAGAACTTCTTTTTTTAACCTTCAGATGCTGTAGTGCTTAGCTCCTGAAATGATGCAGATGTGCAAAATGTTACCCCCTGATTTTCTTTATTTCTCTTTGCCTCCCTCACCCTTCTTCTAGGGAACCCCTGTGTTTGTTCATGCGGGACCTTTTGCCAATATTGCACATGGGAATTCTTCAGTGTTGGCAGACAAAATAGCACTGAAGCTTGTGGGTAAAGAAGGTTTTGTTGGTAAGTGTGTGCTGTTTGTTTGTTTTTCAGGGAAAGATTTTCTGTTTGTTTTTTTTTTTTATCATGACTACCTTTGCTGTTTTTTGTTTTTTTTTCTGTCCCAGAAGAAGCTTCTGATTTCTGTAATTAGAGTGCTGATTTCTCTGCCCAGCAACCTCTCAAACTTCTGTGTTGTTGTTGTTGTTGTTTTCCAATTCCAGTTACAGAAGCAGGATTTGGTGCAGATATAGGCATGGAGAAATTCTTTAACATTAAGTGTCGTTATTCTGATCTCCGGCCTAATGTGGTGGTGTTGGTTGCTACTGTGCGAGCTCTGAAAATGCATGGAGGAGGGCCTGCAGTAAGTAGTAAACAAGGTTTTATTTAGGCCCAAGGGGCTTTTGTTCCAGTCCAGCCACTTAAAGCTCTGTAGGGTTTGATTTGCTTATAATTGTCTTGAGATTTACAGTTATCCATATGTCCTTTGCAAGTTGCTGTGTTGTAGTATGTTACATATACATACTGGCTCATTTTATGTTCCCAAAGAAGTATGCTGGGGTACATTTGTTCTTATTATAATCTTTAGTTTTGTTATACTGTGAGAGCATCTTGGCAGTCTTTTTTATTTTTTTCTTTTCCTTTAGAAAAAAAAAGGATCAGGCTGGAGTAGAATGGTGTATCTTGATGCAGTTTAATAAGAATCAAGTGCAATTTGTCAGAATAAAAATCTGATGGGGTACCCTCCTATTTTTTATTTATTTATTTATTTTAATTCATTCTCCAGGTCACTGCTGGGATACCCTTGCCAAAAGAGTACACGGAAGAGGTAATCTTATCTTCTTTAGCTGTTGTGACAGTTGACCAATTAATTGTAGTCATTACACGATATTGTCATTCAGTGCACGTGTGGATGGCTAATGTGTGTCATTTCTGTAGCTGGCAGGGAATTGCTTCCTTGTACAAGCTTTAAGGTTCTTTTTTTTTTTTTTTTCTTTTTTGTTCTAATGCTGTTACTTTGGCACTGCTCTTTCAAGCATTTATTGTACTTGACCTAGCCAGCATTCAGAGCCTTCCTTTTCTCCTGAGCTTGCATAATTGTCTATGCACTCAATTTTTCATAGTAATGTCTGCTCAGTGTCCCTTGACCCTCTCAGTATAGAGTAATTGCCTAGCTGAAATATTGTCTCTGAAAATATTAGGAGTGCCTGTCTAATTACTCCCTTCTTAGCAGCAGCAGTTTTGTTTTCTCCCTGCCCTTCTTTTGCAAGCAGGGAGGAAAGTGAACTAAATCTGTTTCTGCCCTTCTGCCTCAAATGGTTATGTATGCTTGGGAATTGATCTGGTTCAGCTTTTTCACTTCTAACACTTTTCTATGGGTTACTCTTTTGATAAGAAGGGATGAAATGTCTGCGCTTCCATGAATAATCTCTGATGCTGTAAAATGTAAATAAAGCAAAAGCTGTTATCACAAACTTCAAACAAATGTCACGAAATTCACTGCTAATGATATTCAATACATGAAGACGGATGTGTCATAGAGGAAAATGAGGTTTTACTGTGAGGAGATAATGAGCATAGTATTGACTTAAGAATAACAAAAAATGATAAAGTGGTTTCTCCTACCTTGGTTTTCATCTTCAGCTATAAAGTTATTAGAAACATTCATTCCTTTTCCTGTTTTCCATGCAAGACCATGCACCGGTCCTAAGTGTTCAGAAAGCAGCTCTGAAATTTTGCCTTTGTGGTTTCCATTCCTGTTTTGGCACTTATATAATGAGCTATGGATGCAGTGGATTTGGAGCAAAGGTTTCACTGTCTCTCATAAAATGTATGTTCTGCTTGCTCTCTTTTTTTACAGAACCTTCAGCTGTTGGCAAAAGGTTGCAGTAACCTAAGCAAACAAATCCAGAATGCTCGGTTGTTCGGTGTCCCAGTAGTAGTGGCTGTCAATGCTTTCAAGTAAGTGAGCTGGGCTGTGGAACTGATGCATGAGAATAAAATGGTGGCACTTTTTATGCTACATTTAACACACTGTCTTGTTTTCAGCACTGTCAACATGTTGTTTGCAGAAAGCAGCATTCTGCAGTGCTTGAAGATACTGAATAAATAGTGGAGCTCTGCTCAGTCGTTTCAAATGCATTCTCTAGTTTAGTTTAGCTTAGGATCTTGTAATCTATGACCTATGTGCCACTGCTTACACCCTAACTGGCTAAGTTACTGTAGACAAAAGGTGCCTGTGACAATATGGAATCTAAGTTCATAACAGATGGTGAGGTGCCTGTGCTGTAGACCACACTGCATTCAGTGGTCTGCAGTATGGAATCATGCCAAACCAAGAAGCGTTTAAGGCTCTGCACGTTGTACTACAGAGGAAACACATTCTGTGTGTGGTCTTTCTTTATACAAGCAGAAGGGCTTTGAACTGCTGCATTAAAGCTGATGCCAGTTGAAGCAGAGTAGCAGGTTAAGGGTTGTTCGTCTGAAGTGAATGCGTATTAGCTGTTTTAGAGAAAGTATGGTTTTCAGCACAGTGTGCACATGATATAGAACATCTTAGCATCTCCAAATCTGCAAGTACTAATGCCTTTTTGAGTTCTCATCTGAAAACAAGAGTTGTGTTGTTGATACAAGCACAAAGTCTGGAAAACTGTTGTTGGCAGTCTTGGATTTCTGCATATAGTTCCAGGCCAAGATCTTGCTCCTTTTCTTCTTGGCATGGCATCCTTCACCAAGGTGGAGCAGCCTTGTGGTAGATAACTCCTCAGTAGATATCCTGATGGCTAGATCCTGTGATTCCAGCATTTAACTTCTGTTGACAAGAATGAGAGAAGGGTAGAACAAACCATTCATTTACTGTGCATACGTTCTGATACAAATACACAAACTTTTTTCTTTACAGGACAGATACAAAGGCTGAACTGGCTCTTGTAGTACAACTGGCAAAAGAAGCAGGAGCATTTGATGCTGTGGAGTGCACTCACTGGGCAGAGGGTGGTAAAGGAGCTGTTGCATTGGCTCAGGCTGTGCAGAGAGCATCACAGACACCCAGCAACTTCAGGTTCCTCTATAATGTAGAGGTAAGAACATGCATGATTACAGAGGTACTTTTTTTTTTTTTTAAATAAGTTAGAGATTAGTAGGCTTAGTTGGTTGAAAGTTGCCTGAAAATCTGCTCAGAGAACGTGAGAAGAAAATGGCTTTTAGAAAATAATATTTACTCCACAAGTCTCAAATATCTAGTTTGTCATTTCCTGTTGTTTTGACTACTAAATGAAAAATAGTTTACTTTTGATAGTGAAAGATGCTACTCTGACACAACTAGAAATGGCAAACAGGTTACTACTGTGATAGACAGACATGTTCCAGGGTAGGAAGAAGTTTGAGATTCTTTGACCTGAGACATGCATTCTTGTCAGAACGTGGACTTGAACAATTGTCATCAAACTTGTTACCTTACTTGAGAATTTCTGGGTGTGCATGGTGCTTACAATGAGAATATAATAGGCTGTGGAACAGAAAATGAAATGTCCATTTCTAACTTGTTTCTTTCTCTGGAAATAAATCTTCCAGTTTTACAGTACAGGTCAGGTGGAAGAGCGTGCATGTTTGTGTGTGTGTGTGCGTATTTCTGACTTTGTGCTTAAACAGATTTGATGGTGACTCAGAGGTAACAAAGTCACTGTTAGTTACCATGTTTTGGCCTGAAAGTGCTTGCGCCGTGCTCACCTGCCTGCTTTTTTCTAGCTTCCTGTCATAGATAAAATCAGAATTATTGCACAGCAGATCTATGGGGCAAGTGACATTGAGCTACTTCCGGAAGCACAGGAGAAAGTCGCCGTGTACACTAAGCAGGTTAGTTTTCCCTGTCACCTGATACCCAGTGATGCTTTTCATTTTAAAATAATCATACTGAAGTGGTGTTCAAACTGCATATAATAGGGCATCATCACCCAACATGTGTCCAGGGCTTATTGGATGCTACCATGGCAGAGGAGGATGAGGAGGTGTTGTGGGAAAGGAGAAAGTGGCCCTGGCTTTTAGTGCAGAAAACAGAACTAATCTGTCTCAGAAATACTTCTCTAATGTTGTGTAGGGGAAAGAAGTGGAAAGCAGATTCAGTAGTCTCTATATTCTCCCATGTATACTTTCTGCACTCTCCAATTTTTTAACAGTTTTGGAATTCTGGAACTACAAATGATCAGACTGGTGCTAAATAGTTTCTGGTTTTTGTTATTGTTGTTTGTTTTATTTTTTGTCCCACTGAGTTGTCCAATCAGTTTTTAAACCCATATAAATCTTGGGCAGTCACAGCCATGTTTTTTCTTCTTGATCATGACATTCTTGTAAATTTAGCTGCTTTTCAGATACCTTCTGCATTAATGAAGGTTTGTAATGGGTTGTGTAGAGGAAAGCAAGGTGAGAATTGTCCATACTTTGTTTAGTGCGCTTGAATAGTTTTACTTCTGGATTTCATGTACTGCTGGCATATGTCATTTCTTGTTTTTTGTATTTCTTGTAAATTCCTTTACAGTTCTACTAAAATACCATAGCTGTATAATTGCTTCTTCGTCACAATATGCAATTATATTGACCAAATACTTCTAATTAACCCACTTCAGCTGTATGAGCACTTTTAGTTCTGAGCTGTTTGAATTAATGTTTTGGGAAGAGTGTAGAAAGTAAGCTAGATATCTAGATATCCAGCACTTCCATAATGCTTCCATACCATCAACCTTTTCCTTGGTTGGACGTGCTGGGATCCCTAGTTATTCTTCCCTTAATAGTAGGAAGAGAGAAAGAATGAGGGTGCAGAATGGTCAATGGATCAGATAGGCGGTGGGTGAAGAAATTGCATAAAATGACCTGGTAACACTGAGGATGGTAAAATAGAGCAAAAATTTTTTGTGTACAGGAATGGTTACTGTTTTTTCACTTACTTCTGTCCTCTTTCTCTTTTCTTTTTCATTGTCATGCCCAGGGCTTTGGAAACCTGCCAATCTGCATGGCTAAAACTCATTTATCATTGTCTCATGACCCTGAACAAAAAGGAGCACCTACAGGTTTTATTCTGCCAATCCGAGATATTCGGGCCAGTGTTGGTGCTGGGTTCCTGTACCCACTGGTAGGAACGGTGAGTGAGTAAAACCCTCAGCTGTGGGGTGAGAATAACACTTCACATACATTCCATTTATGAAAGATGTCTTCAGTGAGAAGAGCTCTTGTCATTTACAGATGATGTTTTAGTAGTCCAGTGCATTCCCCTTTGCAGGGGAAGCTAAAATAAACCATCTGATCACTTGAACATTTAGCAAGCCTCTAGTGTACTCTCCATGTCCCACATCTCAGTCTTCTTGGAATTCAGGAAAAGGGTGAACTCTGCACATAATGAATAGTGGGAACAGCAGACTGATGGAGGGGCCTGCCTGATGCCCCTGTGATTTGGAATTCCTGATGCACTTTGCAGTATTCCAGCTGAAATCTCTGTGTGCCAGCAGATAGTGTAGAACTAAACTTTTCCACAGCTTACAAAGCAAATAACTTTTGATGAGACAGCTCCAAAGCAAAGCTGATCTGTACTGTTTATTGTTTGTCAGCCTCCCTTTCCATTATTTTCTCATCATTTTGCTGATCATCTGTTTGCTGTTTGGCCTGTATCAATTCCAACAGTTTATTTCACTGTGCCTTTGAGTTCTTATTTTCTGTTCTTTGAGATGATTGTCACGTCAGCTGAGAAGTAAGAGAGTAGCTACAATGGAAGTAGGATCCTGGCATAGCTTTGATATGAATGGGCTGGCAGAAAGAGGAGCTACTTGCAAAATGAACTGATGTTCAGCTTTGTGTCTAAAGAAAGAATGTTGGGATGAAAGGCTCCACTGGAAATCTTATCTGAGGAATCTATTCTGGGAGAATGTTAAGTAACTTCTTAGGTTATTGCAGAAGATGGAGCAGTTGGAGCAAGCAGCCCTGTCTTTCTCACTATTTTTGGGTCTCCATCTTTTTTTTTTTTTTTTTTTTTTACCAAAGTCTTCATGGCAACATTTGTTTTAATAAGCTGCCTTTCAAAACTGTTAGTGTCACATGGCTCAGATGCTGAAATTTGCTGATTTAAGAGTTGTTTCCTTTCCTCCTTCAAATGTTACCCCTCATAGAGCCAGGTAAGGGTTTCCAGATTACCCCAACAAAAATAAAATAATCACACCCTGACTGAAGTCTGGCGCACCTTTCTTATCAAGGAGTGCTATGTGTTTTGGGATACAGTAAAAGATAGCATGCTCCTGTTAGTGACTTTTTTTGCAAGCCAAGAAGATTTAATTCAAACAGTGATTACTTTTAATATTTTTTTTAAGTACTGCAGAAGGAAAGAGTACACAGAAGTAATGAGACAAACAAAAGATGATTACAGACATTAAAGCTGAAGTTTTGTCTCTTTTTTTAATGTCTTCACTTTCTATGAAGCTGCAGTTTCCTTCCTGCTCCTTGCACAGATTTGTAATGTTTACTCGGGCATGCAGTTGATCATGATGTTAATCATGATGCTGGATTTAAAAGTAAGCCCTCCAAGTGGGGACATTAAGATCTCTCTTCTGTGGTGCCTACTAAAGCCAGGAAAGGGATGTCCTTTTAAGAAGCAGCCCATTTTGAATCAGATCATCGTTTTAAACCATTCAACAGGATATGTGCTAGCCTCAGAGTAAGTTTTTGGCAGCCACTGAACTGTGAGCTGAAAACACAGCAAACATGCAGCTCTCTGCAGAAGTTGTGTGAAATTTGAGGTGAAACTAATCACCAGTGTGTTAATCTTGTTATCTGAAGTTAATTGAGAAGGTATGTCACACTTCATTTTTCTCAGCCTCTAAGTTTTGGGTTTTTTCCTTTCTGGCTCAGAGTTGAAGCTGTTGTACTTGAATGAAACTTTGCGGTATAAAAGGAAATACAAGGATCATCTAGATTTAACTTTGAGCATGAAATGGTAATGAAAATGAAACAAATGGTTGAACTCAAATTGGTTGGGTTTCCTTCTTATATTGTGCCACTGGAGAACTAAAAACGAATTACTGATTCAGCTCTCTCAGTGTCCTACATGGCACTTCTGGAAGTTGTGCAAATGCTATAAATATGTTCTAGTTGGTATTGGTTTTATTTGAACTTTGTAAGGGAACTGATAATATCTGAGCGGTCTAATTTTTTCATGCAAATAGTGAGAATTGCCCTGCATTCTTTTCCAGCACATGCATGAAAGGGAGAAGGAGGAGCTTCATTTCCCTAGCTCTGAAAATAATTGAGTGCATTAAGCATCGTGGACATTTGCGCAGAAAATTCATAGCCTGAAAGGAAATCAACCCTGTAGCATATAAAAATTCAGTGCATAGTTTGCCTTTAGGTAATAGATAACAGAGTAGCCTCTGTGGGCTGCCCTATGGGTAGGAGAGCAGGAAAACTGACCAATCCTTTCAAAACACAAATGGCAAGAAGGGTTACATCAGGCCTGTATTCATCAACACAGCAGCTCCTGTTGTAGTGGCTGTCGCTCTCAGCTCTTGCTGTGGCCCTCTTGATGTGTAGGTGGAGACCTACAAAGCTGTGCAATTCTCCAGAGATACATACATAAATAGGTGCTTTTTTGTTCTGCATGACAGTGGCGGAGACTGTGGTGACAACTGAAAACACTTCCAGATGCTTCAGATCTTGTAATACTTTGCTCATGAAAGCAAAATATACAACTGAACGTAAAGACAAAAGGAGTGAGAGCCATATCTGAGGTCCACTCTTCCCTGTCCTGGAAAGCAGCAGCACAAAAAGCTGGTGCAGACCTAGCAGTCATTCCAAAGGGTTTGATTGAAGTGACTTCTACCTCTGCACAAAGCATGTACATCTTGCAGTGGTATGGTACATATGGGACTGCAGTTAGCACTTGTAATAGTTTAGGAAAATGAGGTGGGATTCCAAAAGCTCCCAGAACAGTTTTGAGAACTGCAGCAAATGCTTAACCTTGCTGCTGAGCTTATTACCCAGATTTGATTAGTGTGCAAAATACGTATGCAGGGAGAAAATACCAGGTTTCTAAGGAGGTTTAATCTAGTGGAGACAGGCATAACAATTACTGGTTGTGAAAGTCAAGGCTGGGTGATGTAGATGTGAACTGAAACACTGATTTTTTTGTTTATGGGGTAAATGACCACTGACACAAGCTGTCAAGCCTGGTCACAAGTTGTCCACCTTCACAAAGCATCCACTTTAACCTACATGCGCTGCTGGGCTAAACACTCAGTTATGGAACCAAGTTGTCATCTGCATTAGTAAATCAGGCCAAGTGTAGTCCCTGCTGGCTTTGCTTTTTGCAGCTCTAAAAGTGGGTTTCAGCAGTGGGGATGACTTGAAAGGCCTGGCCTGAGGCAGGTGCAGAGCAGGCAGCTGTTCTGCTACCTTCAGTCCTCCTGCTGCACAGCCATTCTGACTTGTGTGCCACAAAATGGCCCAGTCAGGAAAACAGCCCTACCCATTTCTATTAAAGCTTTATTTCAGGTGGTTTTGTTGTTTTCTTTTTTTTTTTGGGGGGGGGAGGTGGAGGGGTTGTCTGTTTGTTTTAAAACCTCTCATGTCAACAATAATTATTCCTAATTATAACAGTCCAAAAATTTTGAAGAGTTTTAATCAACTGGGACTTTGCAATCAGCAGAGCTGTATTTAAACGTGCATCCTCATTTCAAGAGCCAAGAAGCTGCCACAAGCAGTTCGTGTCTCCCCGCAGCAGCTCTCATGTAACAGCTGATCCATCAGCTGCGTGCTCGAGTGCTTGGCCAAATCTTGGGCAGAACTGGTCAATCTGCTAAATTAGGAGTTCCTGGTTCTTATGATACACTTCAGAATGGTGTCCGACCACCATCCAGCCAGTTCATAACTGAGGTGCTGCATGGGCTGTTGCTTACACAGTTCCCAGTACTGAATAAGTTTTATATCTTCTGCTCATTTATGCTGCTTCCATCTTAATGGTTTATCTTTTGTTGTTATCCAGATGAGCACTATGCCAGGACTTCCTACAAGACCCAGCTTTTATGATATCGACTTGGACACAGTGTCAGGAGAAGTGAACGGGCTCTTCTGAAAAGAATTTGTAACCAAAGGTAGGTGTCACCTTCAGGTTAGAAGGCTTTCAGTATTTGGGCTTGATTTCTCAACTTGAGATAATGGAACTAAGCCAATTTCATATTATGCCATGTGTTTACAAATAACATGTGATCATATTTCAGCCTGAAAGTTGCCTCCAGTGCTGTTTAATAATAATTAAATTTATTTTTCTTTTTAGCTCCCAGAAGAACACCTGATGAGTCATGTAAATGAAACTATTCACTGATCTTTTTTGAAGTCGAAACAAGATATGACTGAGAATACAGTGCAAGAAGTGAAAAAAAGAGTGATAAAGGATAAAACACTTATTTTTAATCAGTAATAATTCTTAAACTACTGTTTTCCAAGCTAGTTGAAACTAAGTATCTAAAGTATACTTCCTGTACAACCTTCCTGCTTCATAACTGTAGCTGGAGCAAAATACAGAAGCTTGGGTTTAGTGATTTCTTAGAACCAGAGAATCATTTCAGTTGGAAAAGACCTTTGGGATCATCAAGTCCAGCCAGCTAAAGGACTGAAACTTTAATTAAGATAGTAAGCACAAAAAGGAGAAAAGATACATTTATACAATCTCACCTTGATTCAGTGAGATTAGGATTTTTAATTATTAAAATAAAGTTGGAGCTGTTTGTAACAGTCCTGGGACCTCGCTGTCTTAACAGTAGGGTTTTTGTGACATAGATTATCTTGGGAGGTCTCATATGCTATAATAATATTCCTACTTGTCATACTGAATTCTGTATCCCATTTCTCACACTATGGGAGGATTTGCTGTGCTGTGAAATCACACCAGTTTCTTTTAAAAGAGGGAACAAGGAAGAATCCTTTTGTCATTTTTTAGCAGGAGTGCTCACCATAGCTTCTGCTGTGAATTACCCCTGCAGATACCTGAGCCATGCCAGATTTCTCTTTCAGAAAGCCCAGCTGTGACTGCTGTAATTCTTACTACTGGAAACAGAACTTCTGAGTGTCGGGTCTGTTGAGACCTGGATCTCTGGGCTGTACCCATGGCTTCTGCCAAAAGTGTCCTTTCAACCATTTTTTGCTCAGCAATCAGTACAGTTAGGCCACTGAGAAGCCTTGTTTTCTAAGGTACCTTTTGGGTGAACAGAAGCCATGTGAGCAGTGATTGAGTCATTTGTAGTAGGCTTTGTCAGTAGGCCAAAAATCATTTTGTAACAGAAACAGAGTTTCTGCCAGATTTTTAACTAATACAAATAAAGGGTAAAAACTTCAAATGCTTTTTGGGTTTTGATGTACGTGCTGAGATTAATGACGTAGAACTTATTTCTGTGATTAACTGAGTAATGCAGCAGTCCCAGTATTGACAATTATAAGTGATTATTGCAGGAATGAGTTGCCTGCAATGCACCACCGTGTGTGTGTTCTATCTTGTTTCTTTTCCTGGATGGCGTGTGTCATCTATAGGAAATAAACTGCCTGAATTATTCAGTGGATCAAGTTTACTTGCAGTTGACTGCAGAAGATCTGAATTAAGATGCTAGCTTTATTAAGTTTGACTGCCCTGCTCGCAGCTGAATATTTTTGGCTTCTCCTTTTTCCATAGACTTGCAAGGCCCATCTGCTTGCATCCAAACTGAATCTGAAAGCATTCTGATTTTGGTGAGAACTGGGAGAGTTGTGGTGTAGGTGTGCACCAGTGTAAGGATGCATCTGTAGTACACAGATACTAAATATAGAGAGCAAGTTATTCAGTAAGGGAGAATAATTATATAAAAATTACCTAGTTGTCACAGAAGCAAAGACAGAATAATTTAAATTGTCGTAAGCACACTTGAGATACACTCACAGCCTCCTCAGATTTTCTTCTCGGTGGTATTTGGCTGAGAAGTTGCTGGCAGACAGGTTTTACAGAGCACAAAAAGGCCACCTGCATGGGGTCAGGAGGGGCATCCCCTGTTGCTGCACCACCCCAAAGGCCTGGCTGGAAGTCCACCTGCAGCACCTTGGTGGAGCCTTTCCTTGCTGCAGATTGCCACAGCTGATGCTGCCAAGACTGCTGTCAGTTCCTACATTTAATCCTCATTCTCTCATCTTGCAGAGGCTTCCCTGTTGCACTGCTTTCCTGCAAGCGCTCTGTGTTCCACCTTCATTTTATGCTTATGAAAGATGGGATAAGTGCTAATTTATGCTAAGATTAGCCTCCTTTTAGTTCAGCATGAGATCGTAGACATGTGGTTGAGAGGAGACGGTTCAGGAAGTCTCTAGGCCACAGCATGCAGTGAGGCAACACCATGGCACAGCCACGCAAACTGGACGTGAATTTGCTGAACAGTGGGGGACTGCTGACAACAAAGCTTAAAGGCCGGCACCAAATAGTGAAAAAATAGCCCCAAGCATCTCCAGAGATGAGTGGCAAATGCTTTTCTACAATGTGCTCCAAATGTTGTGGGAAGTGTGTTCCTACTGTCCCTACTTGCAACGCTGATTCATAAATAAGTTGGGTGGGTTGTTGGTTTCTTTGCTCGTTTGGGACTGAGTACGGCAGCTGTTAGTTCTTGACCCATCACCTAGGACACAAAGAATGCTTACTCTCTTCTAACTGACAACTGGAAGGTTGTCTTCTCCTCCTGTTGCCTGGAGCAAAAAATCAATTAAATGCAGGTATGTTCTCAGTAGGCGATATGTGGGCCCAGCTCCTTAGCTGCTGTGATGGCCATTCCTTTTGCTGTGCCATAATGAGAGCTTCACATCACATTGCTAGGAAACAATACAGATTTTTTCAATCTTATCCATCTCCTACCCCATTATCTATCTCCTGTGTGTCACATTCCTTGGTGTTACTGTCCTCCCATGGAATAACAGAATAATTGAGTTCTGTGCAAGGTGGTTTCAGAGGGGGTGGATTGGAGCTGACGCTGCAGGTAGCACATGTTACAGGTAGCTGCCTGTATCCCCCCTCCATCTGGAATGAGGGGAAATGGCCTCGTGCTGATGGCCTGTGCTTAGCTCTCATGAGAACTGTACCCTAATTAGAACCCACTGCCTACCCTCTGGAGAGGAGCTGTTTCCAAATGAAATTTATTATAACGAATGAATGCCAGCAAACACGTCTCGTTAGGGAGCTTTTAAAATGATGGTTTCTTGTGGTTGCATGATGTGTGCTTCTGTCCTATAGGCTGAGATTTCAGCCAGAAGAACACAGTTTCTCCCCTTTTTAGGGAGGGAGGAGGCCACGTGTGTTTTTTTAAGGATGGCCTCCACTGGAAGCCACTTGCAGGCTCGATGTATGCTCCATGGCCTGCACTGCAGTGTGCCAACATGCTGCGAAGCAATTAATATCCTCACATCGGTGGGCGTCGCTGAGCTCCCCGGTGGGATGAATGGGGACGTTGAGGCAGCTCCAACCATGGCTTCATGTGGTTCTTCAGTTGCACTTGTAGTCATTTCCCGGAGGCTCTCCCGTCAATCATAACACTGGGGACGCAATTTTAAAGTCAGATATTGGCAAGCGTGAAGGAAAAAAAGACGCCTAGGACTGAGGCGTCTTGTCAGGTATTTCAGATGAGGTTTTGCTTAAACTCGGGCCCCGGCTGCCGTTAACCCCGCTCTAAAGGTGCGGCTCCTGCAGCGACCCAAGCGGGCAGGGCTAAGCGCTGCCCAGGTTTCAGGCGGCAGAAAAACCGCTGCCAGGAGCAGAGCTCCCATCGCACGCTGTACCTGGTCCGCGGATCCTCGCCGGCTCTTCCTCCCGGCTGTCTTTCCGCTCGCAGCCGGCATTCGAGCCGCGAACCGCGGCTCAGCCTTCGGGAAGATCCTCTTGACTTCTCCCGTTGTACATCTGCTGCTGCTGCCTCGCGCCCTGCGCGGGGAAGGAAGGCGGCGAGGGACGGTGCTCCGCGAACGGGGCAGGATGCCGAGCGGGGGGGAGGGAGGGCCGCCGCGGGGATGCTGCGTGAGCGGAGGGGCTGCGCGGCCGGGGGGCGGGAGGCGGGGGGCTGCCGGCAGCGCCCTCCCCGCCGGCCCGGGGGGCGCGGCTGCGGCGGGAGGCGGCGGCAGCGCAGCCGCGCAGGGGCCGCGCGGAGCCGCGGTCGGGCCGCGCCGCGCCGCAGGTGAGATGCTGAGGGGACCCGCGGGGACGGGGAGCGGGGACACGGAAGAGGGGGTGTCGGAAGGGGGCGGCACCCCGAGTTCGGGAGCCCGCGCGTCCCCTCGGAGGGCTGCGGGCGGGCGGGGGGAGCGGCGGCGCTCGGCGGCTCGCGGTCCCGGTGCCGATGCCCACGAAGCGACCCCAGACTCGTCTGGACGCGGGCTCCAGAGCTGGGGTGCGCTCGAGAGCACCGGGCTTCGTCTTTCCCACGTGGCCGCCGAGCGCATTTTCCGCTTCAGAACCAGCGAACAGAACGCAACGTGCGCTGCGGGCTGCAGCCCCGCCGGGGGCACGGAGCTCCGGAGCCGCCAGCGCCCCCGGGAGCGGCAGCGGCAGCCCCGGGTCGGGACGGCGCCGCCACGCGGCTCTGCTGCGCCCGGAGGGCTCCGGGAGGCGCCGGACGGCCGCGAGAAGTTGGGCTGCAGCGCGCTCCCTCCTTTCCTAAACGTTCCCTTTGTGCCTTTGATTTTTGCAAGGGTGACAGCGCTGATGGACGCGTGTGGTGTTAATTGAGGTTGCCATGGGAGGCGTGCACGTAGCGTAGATGCGCTTCCTTCTTGCCGTGTGATTTCGCTTTTGTATTCCTCCTCTTGTATTCGGCGTTTTGCATATTGTCAGCTGGTGCATTAAAAATAAAAATATCGGCGGTCTCGGGGTGTGATTTCCCGGGTTGCAAAGTGTGAGTGCATAGAGAGTGGTGGGGGAAGATGGAGCCAAGTGTAGGAGCAGGAAATATATGCTTGTGTGAGTAATATAGATTTGTCATAATATGAGCAATTAGAAAAAAATACAGCCACTTCTGCCATGCAAAGTAGTGTTTTCTGTGTTGGAACAGCGCTAAGTTGGCATAATAGTGGCTTTATTTTGCCTTTGGATATTGGTATCCAGAGGTAGAATTGCTTTTTTGTCCCTTGTCTGCATCCCAGGCTGAAATACTCTGCTCAGAATTACTTCTCAATCCTTTGATTTTTGCTCTGCGCTTCTTACCACTTGTTCATTGTGTTGCAGGTCAGAGCTGGGAGCATCAAGCAGGATCAGAGGCAAACCTCACCCAACCTGTGTCAGGAGCTGATCAGAATCCAAAGCACAGCAGCAGCTGAGCTGGCACTGGGGGGCAGAACACCTCCACTCACTGCCTCCACGTTGCTTCAAGCGTTCTTCGTTTCCCTCGAACTGTCCATGGGCTGAATAAAAGTTGTTAACTGTTGGCTTGACTTGTCATCCTTTGAGGGAGTAAAACCAAGGTCAGACTGTCCATTCTGTGGTGTACTGTTAGAGGAGCACAACCTGAAGTGGGGTATCTCAGAGGTGAGAGTGACTCTGGTTCTTCAAGTCTGCCTGGGACTCCTTGGAGAGGCAATAAGGAGAGTAAGAAGATGCAATGGGAGTTATAAAGTGGATGCAATAGCTTCATTGGAACAGCTCTGCACATTGCCACATCTGCTTGCTAAGAAGCAACTATTGTTGTTTTGAGGACAATTTGGGGAAAAAGCCGTTTGAGCATCTCTGCAGCTTTTATGCATTAATCAAGAAAGTCAATACACAGACGAAGGAGAGGTGCAAATATGGCAAAGGCTGCTAAGGAAATACAAATGGAGAACCCGAGCGAGCTGGAGACTCCTAGCGCAGGGACACCATGCCCCCCATTGGAAGAACAGGCAGAAAAACCCTCCATGCTCTGTTTTAAGAAGCGGAAGAAGTCCTGTAAGAAGGGGCTGACAACTAAGGATGCATGTGAGGGAGCTTCTGGAGCCTCGGAGGAGAAAAATCAATGCATCAGCACAGACCCAGGGGAGGCAAAAGCTTCTGCTCGATTGCGACCCTCCAGAGGAGCCTGGGCAGCTCTCAAAAGTCTCACAAAACCTCGGAGAGGGCAGAAATCCTCTTCACGGAAGAAGGTATCTTCTGATTCCCAGGTGCAGCTGGAGATGGATGCGGAGGAGAGCTGTGCACAAGGTCTTCCAAGGAAAAAGGCCAGCACAGGGGTGAAGATGCCCTGTGTGCGCTTCTTGAGAAGCAAGAAAAAGCCCAGCCCCTCAGAGGTGGTGGAGGAGTCAGAGGACAGTGTCCAAGCCAACGAAGTGATGGGCATTTTGAATAAAGCCATTGAAGAGCTGGAGGACATGGACCCAGCAGAGCCCTGCAACAAGGCTGAGTCCCTCGGTCCACTCCCTGCAGAGGACATGGCCCCAGCAGAGCCCTGTGACAAGGCTGAGTCCCTCAGCCCCCTCCTTGCAGAGGACACAGTTTCAGCAGAGCCTTGTGATAAAGCTGAGTCCCTCAGTCCACTCCCTGCAGAGGACATGGCTCCAGCAGAGCCCTGTGGCAAAGCTGAGTCCCTCAGCCCACTCCTTGCAGAGGACACGGCTTCAGCAGAGCCCTGTGGCAAAGCTGAGTCCCTCAGCCCACTCCTTGCAGAGGACATGGCCCAAGCAGAGCCCTCTGACAAGGCCAAATCCCTCAGTCTGCTCCCTGCACAAAACTCTGCCCCAGCAGAGCCATGTGACAAGGCTGAGTCGCTCCCTGAAGAAGATGTGGCCCCAGCAGAGCCCTGTGGCAGTGCTGAAGCCCTAAGCCCGCTGCCTGCAGAGGACCTGGGCGTATCAGCAGAAGGTGCCGATGCCAGTGGGAGGAGTGAGCCCTCGGGAGAGGCCAGGCCTGAAGTGGATGAACACACAGAGTACATCGCTCAGTCAGAAATAACCAGTTTGGAGCCTGTCAATGAACCTGTGCAGGAAAAGCTGCCTGAGGGGAGTCAATCTACAGCCCAAGTGGAAGAGGGAGAAGTCACTCCTGAAGTGCCGGTTTCCACAGATCAACCCAGTGGCACATCTGAAATCACTGAGGTGCAGGAGATAGCCACAGTCTGCAAGGAGCTTCCTGAAAGGGATGAGTCGGAGAGGAACACTGATCTCCCCAAGGAGTGCAAATCTGAGGAGACCACAATGGATTTCAGTCCATCAGTGTCTAAGGATGATGCAATGAGTGTGCAGAGCAGCTCCAGCCATCAGGAGAAACCTGAAGTCAATGTGGGCACCGGCGTTGGCATCGTCATCACCATCACTGAAGCCGTGGACTCTGATGACACCGATTCTGACCAGGCCTATGAGCCATCCCCGGTTTTACACCACAAGAAGCAAAAAAGGAATAAAAAATCCAGTGGGAGCTTTGATTTTGGTCAAAAAGAAGGCCCTGGGGCTGGCAGTGATGCTGTGGTGGAAGAGAAAGGTCTGGGCGAGCAGGGGCACAGGACTTCGGATCAGTACGAGTTGCTCCTCATAGAAACCGCATCTTCCCTTGTGAAGGCAGCCATCCAGTCATCCATAGAGCAGCTGGTCAACGAGATGGCTCTGGAACAGAATAAACACAACAGTTTTCTGTGAGGGTGACGATGCCCCCAGATGAGGGTGATTCCAAGCTACTTTGGCCAGAGGAGGGGAGCAAGAGGGCTCTGGAGGCCACTGCTTAGTTAACTCTGCATGCCCGTGAAGTTGTGTGTGTGTTTATTATGTGTATGAAACTGGTGCTGGGGCATGGGACAGGCCCTGCTGAGCACAGGGAGCGCACTAGGCCTGGCTACAGGAAAGTGCAAGTGTTGCAGTGTTTTCATTTACTAGCATCTTTATGTTGAGGCCATGTTTCTGCTGTCTTCCATTCCAGACTTCCCTGCTGTTAGTGTTTTAAACGTTAATGTGCTTTTAGGAAGAGGCCCCGCAGGCAGCGAGAAACCTCCTGCCATTGGGTTCAGTTCAGTGAGTGTTGAGCACGGCTGGAGGTTTGCTCAGTGGGTACAAGGGAGGGAGAAGGGGCTGAGATGTGCAATCAGTGGTATCAATGCCAAGCAGTTAGCACTGCATTCGGAGGTGTAGGAAACCATGGTCTGAAGTCCCATTAGGTGGAACTGGGTGAATGCAGTGAGCAGCACATATTGGCCAGCCTAAGGCCCCTAGCCTACTCCTCCAGCCTATTCCCTTGTCAGAAGCAGCCTGTGTATTACCCATCCACTGCGGTACAGCATCAGCTCTCCTTGCTGACTTCAGGCTGCACAAACACCAAGAGCATGCCCTCACTTTGTCTGCTGGGGCCCATTGCACTGCTGAGCACAATTCTCCCCATGGTGTGGTGATGAGGGCCAGGCTGGAGCATGCTGGCCACAGGGAGCCCCTGGCCTTGCCTTCTTTTGTCTGCCATGGTGAAACTTCCCTTGGATATGGTGTTGTTTTTTGTTTTTGTTTTTTAACGTATGGCATGTAATATAAATAGCAGTGTGCTGCATGCAGTCAACTCTTGCCTCGGTGTTGAAATAGCGTGGTGGCAAGGATGTGCTGCAGGCCATGGAATTGCTCCATGTTGGGAGGGGATTTGGTCACTGGCTGTGTCCACGTGTCCATCCATCCCTTCACTTCACAGAGACCCCCCGCAGAAATCCCAGCTGGCTCTGTGGTGACCAGTCCAAAATGCACCATGAACACCAGAGCCATCTCACCAAAGTCCTCAGGGAAAACCCAGACATGAGGGCTGGGGACACTGCCACAAAACACCCAGACAGGCCGACTGCTGTCAGAAAAATACAAACTGCTCTGTTAAGGAGGTGTGCGTGCAGCATGTGCACACACGTGGTGTGTGCGGGTGCACATCACCTCTCACTGCCAGCCCTCTGGAAGAAAGGGGCCTTTTGATAATTTAGGATTGCAGCTGCGCGGTTGGGATTTACACACTGCTGCGTGAAAGTCTGCCTTTTCTGCTGAGAAAGTTCTCCTGCCCCATTCTCAGCCTGTACAGAAATAGCAGCCTCCCCTGGCAACTGCTCAGTGACCACAGTGGGGACACGGAGGTTTTCTGCTCGGCGCTGTTAGAACACCAGGGCTGACAACTCTCCAAGAACCCGGTGCACAACCATGTTTTGAACTTTGAGAAAGGATCTCTGCTGCTGCGAGAGGAGTACCAGCAGGGAGTGCCATGGTGTCTTTCTGTGCACGTTAAACTTGGAAAAAATCAGACTGACTTTTTTTTTTTTCTGTGAATTTATTTAACGTTATCAATAATTCAGCGTGTATATTAATGGCTTTGCACTTCCTATTGTTCCTTTCAGGCATTTTGCCATCATTTTGAAAGGTGCTTTTTAAGGACTGTGTATAGCTTTGGAGCTGCTGCAGCACCTGGGAGGAGCTGTGCTTGTGCTGGAGCTGTGCTGTGAGCTGTGTGGGCAAAGGGATGGGTTGGTGCTGATGGAATGGCTGCAGCATCTCTATGCCTTGGCTGCAGGGGCACCCCTGGGTTCTCAGCAAGTGACATGAAATACCCCAGGTGTGGCCAGGCACTTGTCTCCTATCCATGTGCTGAGCAGTTTGCGGAGGATTTAATGCTACATTTCCACAGAAAATAGTCCATTGCAGGAGGAGGCACTCCCTGAATGGAGAGAGAAGAGCAGCATTGTGTGGGTCCAGCCCAGAGCCTGCAGGACTGTCAGCTGCTCTGTACCCAGGGCTGTGTTTGCATCCTTTTCATAGCTGTTTTCCCTCTGTTCCACTCATACATGTAACTTGGAATTAGTTCATTAAAGTTGAGTGTACCTCTCGTTTTCTTGACTTGCGATTGACTGGGCATAGAGATTTTGTAGCAGAGCTGATAACCCACCGTGCCATCCAGTAATGTGCAGCATTTCCAGGTGGCCATCTGATGAGTAGCAGCCTTCACATTAATAGACCTGAAATGTTTTAAGACTCACTCTTCCTGCATGTTTTTTTCTTAAATAAGGTTTCCTTCTGGCTGCTGCCCTGTCTTTCCCACTCACAGATTCCTGAAAGCCCACAGACTCCAGCAGGTATTTATGAAGGATCACAAATCTCATCTGGCTCAGAAGAGCAGCCCAGCAATTGAATCACCATTGGATGAGCGGCTTTGCTCATCAGAAGAGAGTGGAACAGACTGCAGAGCCCAAGCTTCCAGTGTATGGGGCTCCTAAGGACTTGAGGCACTTTACAGCATATTAAAAAGTTGAAAAAAATGTACACTTTAAATAGTATTAATACTGATTATTCTTTCAGGTTTTCAGAACAAAAACACAGACTTCTAATGGCTGTTAATGACTTAATTAAGTTTCTCTGCTCCCCCATTACAATGAGAGAATTGGACATTAATGAATCATAGGAACTGTACACTTTTGGAGCAGAACCATTCCGAGAAGCACGGGGCTGCTTGGCTGCACAAGAGCACTAGAGAGGGTTCAGGACTGTTTCCTCCTCACAGCCGTAAGAAATGGGCACAGTGCATAGCCTGGGCCTGCTCTGGCTGGTTGGGATTGCTTCTGGGCCATCTGCCTCCTCGTCGCTCTGCTGCCCCTCTCGGATATGGAAGTGTTGCTTTGTAGCTGCATCGCAATTAATTAATTTGTTCTCCTGCTTACCCCGCAGTCTGCACTGCTGCTTTCTTTCCCAGATGTTTCCAGCACTCCTTTTGGCAGCTATGGCTCAGCTTGCTGTTCAACAAGTCCCCTGCCTGTGCTCTGCCCAGGGGGCACTGCATTGTGCGCTGAGGCCCGATCTGCTGCTGGAGGGACTACAGCAAGTGGGAACCCAGCACTGGAATTGGTGCTTTCCCTGCATAAACGATGGGTGTTTTCATACGTGTGCTTATGTCACATGAAAATTCAAGAGTTTTGTCATAGGTGCCCAAAATAAATTGGGCAAGCTCATGCACTACATGGGAATTCTGTGCTTGGAAGTGATGGGTGGAAGTGGGACCCTGCTGGCGGACCAGCAAAGCCTTCCTATCACTCCTCCTGTACATAGAGGACTTCCGCATCTGTAACTCAAAATAATGAAACACTCCAAGGGAACAGATTGATTTAAATAATTTGCTTTAATATTCTTTTACATCTGCAGATTCATTTCCCAGAGAAACGGTTCTTGTTAGCTCTTGTTGGGTGGTATTACAATAATGAAGTATTTAATTTGCAGCCAGATAAAATCTTTACATTAAATGTGTTTTTGTTTAACTAATCAGAGGATGTTATTGCTTGTATGGTTATTTAAGGAACAGAATAGATCAGCCTTTTTTGGAGGCACCATTGTCACATTTCTTTTTGCAGCTCGCTGTGGAAAACACAGTTCTTTGCTAACAGTGGGGCTGTTCTGTGACGAACTCAAAGTCCATTCAGCTTGGAAGTGGATCTCAGTGAAAAATACCCCCAAACCACATTTACAAACTGCTGTTATAACATACAAATTGACAAACACGCTGGATACGAAAGGGAGAAAAACCCTTTTGTAACTCAAATGAGTGAGATGAAGGCATCATCTCCCACTAGAGCTGGGTACAGCCCCTATCATCCCATAAGTTTGACCTCAGCAGCAGCTGCATGGCTTCTCCAGCACGATTTAGCTCAGGTGAAACTGAGGCACCGAGGTGCTGTGCTGTGCTGCTCCTTTGTTTTGAGGGCGGAGGTGTCTGGGTTAGAATATTTCATGGAAGCGTTTCCGCTATTAAGCTGCCTTTGAAGCTGCGTCATTACTGTTTCTTAATGAAACATGCAAATCCCACATGTGCTGTGATTGCATTTCAGGGAATTCAGTCCTGACATCGCTCCAACTGTAAATACCTAACTGGCGTGCCATTTAGGACTTCATTCTCTTTTTCCTTCCCAGTTTTCTTTGCTCAGAATAGCTTATCCTAGTGCTGGACCGCCAGGACACCCACGCAAAGAGCTCCTTTTTGGCAGGAGCAGAGAAGAGAAGCCTGTCAGCTCCTTACCCGGCAGCAAAGCTGGAGTTGAGCTCAGTGGTGTGTCACATCGTGCTGCTGGCTGCTGCCTGTGGGAGGGACGTGATGAGCTGAGGATGAAGATCCTCCTGGGCTACTGGGAGCCAATGGCCCGAAGCCTGCGCCTGCTTATGGAACATGGAAATGAAATGGGAAATAAGATTGAATTGCATGTGCTGATGGTTTTCAATGCACTTCTGAAAGCTTTGCCTGCACTCAATTTACGCCTTCCACCTCCGACATATTTAAGAACTATTCATTACCAGCATTAATGCTCTTTCCAGCAAGCTCATGAGAGCGGCGTTTCGTGGTTTATTTCCACTCTCACGTTCAGTGCTCCGAGTTTACAATGTGCATCCTGCTGTCGGCACTCCCAGTGCGGGGGCTGTGTCCCAGTGCCCTGTGGCCCTACTGCAAGGCACTGTGTGGGCAGCCCACCGAGCTGAAGGCTGGGGGTTATTATTGTTGTTGTTCTGCCTGGAATAAAGGAGCAAAGAGAGCCTGCGTCATCTCCTGGCAGCCAGCATCCCTCCCCCTGACTCCAGGTGTTCATTGCAGGGGGGTCAGACCAGACGACCTCTAAGGGTCCCTTCCAATTCAAACGATTCCATGACGTGGAAGTTGTGCAGCATGCACTGGTCAATAGCACTCAATTACCTATGGAAATGATGTCTCACTGCAGCACTTGATGACATCCCCAGGGCTAATGGGCACTGGAGGAGCGCTCTGCACTAATGCTTTGGGACTGGGCTGAGCACTCACCTGCTGCAGTGCATGAGGCCATAGCCAAGGCCCTTTCATAGGCCATAGCCAAGGCCTTTTCATGCTCCTGCTTCATCAAAGCTTTGCCATCCCAGGAGCATTTACAAGCCTCCAGGCATCACTCCAGGTCTTTAGAATCACTGAATGATATAACCGTTTTTTGAGTTGGAAAGAGCTCTCAAAGGCCATCTTGTCCAACCTCCCCTGCAAAGAACAGAGATACCCACAGCTCCATTAGGTGCTCAGAGCCCCATCCAGCCTGACCTTGGGTGTCTCCACGGACAGAGCACCCACCACCTCTCTGGGCAACATGTTCAGCCTTTGTTTGCCTAAGCTCATGTGCATTGATTGATCAATCACAGGCAACTGAAAAGAATTACCAGGATCATTATCCTGCATACAGGGATAAAGCTTTCATTTTTCCCAGCTGTACATTTCAGGCAGATTTTTCCAGCATGCCCCTGCCTCAGAGTTAAGTATAAAATAACCCAAGTGTGTTCTACATACAAGGGTAAAACCTCTTCCTATGTGCCCAGGAGCAGCTGCTGTTCTTGCTTAGAAGATGGAGCTGCCTTCCAAAATGATTTCCTATGATTTTCTAAGGCTGAGAGCAAGTGATGCCTGCAAGGGGAGGTTGCAGTGTGCAGTTCTGTCTCTCCAGCTTCTTCTGCTGCTTTAATTATAACAGTGCTTTAACACTCAGAAGAAAAATGCTGAAAATACATTTCTTCCATTGCAAATGATGAGAAAATGCCTTTCACCGACGTTTGATGTCACAGATGTTCAGTGTCACAAAGATAAACCAAAGCACACTCTAAAAGGGGGAGGAACGGTAAGGAATATCAGAGATGTGCTGAGCACAGTGCTGGCTGAGATGGAGCTGTAGTGTTATGCAGAGCTGCTCCTGCAATCACAGAATCACAGAATCACAGAATTGCCAGGGTTGGAAGGGACCTCAAGGATCATGAATCTCCAACCCCCCTGCCACACGCAGGGCCACCAACCATTCCACCTAATGCTAGACCAGACTGCCCAGGGCCCTATCCAGTCTGGCCTTGAACACCTCCAGGGATGGGGCATCCACAACCTCCCTGGGCAGCCTGTTCCAGTACCTCACCACTCTCTCTGTAAAGAATTTCCCCCTGACGTCCAACCTAAATCTCCCTTCCCTCAGCTTAAAACCATTTCCCCTTGTCCTGCTGTCACTCACCCTTTCAAAGAGTTGATTCCCCTCCTCTTTGTAGGCTCCCTGAAGGCTCGCAGCCTTCTTTTCTCCAGGCTGAACAAGCCCAGCTCTTTCAGCCTGTCCTCATAGGGGAGGTGCTCCAGTCCCCTGATCATCTTCGTGGCCCTCCTCTGGACAATAGGTGTGCACACACCACAGCTGACGCACGGACAGACATTGCTTCTGGCCCAGCTCACCACCTTCACTAAGCTGCCTTTAATGGCCAAAACCAAACCAACATTTCCTGTTGTCCCCAATACTGAGCCCTTTGTTGACTGCCCTTTGTTTAAAGCATACCCACCATGGGTTTATCTGTCCTGCTGATCTTGGCAGTACTTGCAAATACATCAAAGGCCACTGACTCTCAACAGAAATGAGTTCAGATGAGTTAGAGATCTCACTGAGGTCACCAAGTGCACATGGACTGCTCAACTGTCTAAAAACTGTCACTTTCAGCTCATTTCTGCAGCTTCTACTTCCCCCGCACAGCTCTGTCTCTACCCAGCAGATTCTCCTTTGTGCTCCTAATGGGGCTGGAAGCAAACACACGAACCTGAATAGGGAATTGTCACAGCACTCCATTTTTTAGCCATCCCACTGAACTTCAGGGACCCCATCTGCAAGCAGCTGGCCTGAGGGTCTGTTTGTTGGGAGGATTTCGTTGTTTGCTCAACAAAACCCCTTTTTCCACCCAGCCCACCGCAGCCCCACCAGAGCAACACCAGCACCCCGACAAGCACACACAGCAGGCAGAGCAACTCCTCTCAGCATCCATGCAAGCTCAGGGCCTGTTTGTTTTTTTCCTTTGTCTTAAAACGCAACTTGGCGGCCGCTCCATCCCCTGCAGTGCTCAGCTCCCCTGCCCAGCAGCCACCCTCACAATGGCCTCCACGGGCTCTAAATGCAGCAGTGGTTTCATTCCAGATCCTACTCCAGAATGAGATGACAGCTCGAGGGTTCTGGCTACAAAGAGATGTGGACCGGGCATGTTGACAGCAAACAGTTCTCACCATTGTTCAAAGCCTCCTTTCCTATACAATGACTCAATTCCGCAGGGGCTGGGGGATGTGTAATGAGTAATGGGGTTTGGGATTACTGGAGCAGCTCACCAGGCCCCAGCTTCTCGCTGCAGGAGGAATCTCAGTGTTATAAGTACAGCAATGTTGGGATGGGATGGATTGGAGCCCAGCTGGTGGGAAGCATGGGTACCTCTGGTGGAAAACTACAGAGGGATAAAACACAAGAGGAATGTGTACAATTTTAAATCCCCTTTTGGGCTTCAGAAATTGAGTAATGAAAGACAAAGTTTACATCTTACCATCTTAGGTGGCTCCACGAGCAGAGAATAGCATGGTATGTATTTGTTCAAGAACCAAGGAGATGTGGCACTGAGGGACGTGGTTCATGGGCATGGTATGGATGGGTTGATAGGAGTTGATGGTTGGACTAGATGATTGATCTTTTTCAACCTGAATGATTCTATGACTATCTCGTAGCAAAGCCTTGTGAGCTGCTGAATCCTGTAAAGACTTTGGTCAGGATGTGTTACTCCGTGAGTGGACGTTCCCTCACAGCTCCCATCCCTTGGTGCTCAGAAGGCCCAGTAATGGGAGCTGACCACAGCGAGGCATCAATGTATGTCTTGTTCATGCAGCTGCAGTTGAGGAGGGAGAAACAGGAAAAAACCCATGTGAAGCCCTTAAGCACATCTCTAAGTAGAATCACAGAATATCCCGAGTTGGAAGGGACCCAAAAGGATCGTCAAATCCAACTCCTAATTATGTAAGTAATACACAAATAAGTATTAGCAATTCATTTGATGAGGACTCTAGGGCCTGTTGAAGTCAAGGTTGCCACCAACTCCCTTGAAAAGATGAGCCTTATGGCTCCCACGTGCATTTATGCAGAGATTTATTAACTGCAGTTACAAACACAAACTTTGGGACTTATCTCCTCATTTATTTTAATTAAAACCAAACTATTGGGGAAGAACAATATATGTATTTCCCTCTACATTTCCCTCCATCTAGAACCAGAAGAGCAATTTTATGGGCTACAAACAGCCCTTGATGCCACTCCATGTATTAGGGGATGTGTAAACCTCACACCCAGCAACACGATACGAATTCCAGTAAAGCAGGGCAAGAACAAGTTCACATCTATGAAAATGTAATCAAGTCACATGGAGGCTTCCAAGGACTTAGAGTTGAATTAGCTTGAGTTTAAAAGTTAGAGAGGTAAAAAAGTAAACACACAAACCAAAACACCATTCTTCACAGCTAGCTCAGTAAGAGGGCAACTCTGGCTGAGGACAACAGTCAGATCTGGCAGCTCAGTGCACAGAAAATGCCCCTAACCAGTGTTCAAAGGCTGCACAGGGAGAGCTACTCTACCAGGATCGTATCCACGCTTTCCTGGATGAGATCAGACTCCAGTAAACACTCATCCAAGTGATCTTGGGACAAGCTGGAACTCTTCCCCACGCTGTCGCTGTCGCCGTAGGGCCGGAACCTGGGGGTGAGGGGACTCTCCAGCCGTGGGCTGCGGCCGTGCTTGAGCTGCTTCCCCCGGTGTGCATACATGTGCTCCAGCAGCTGGCTCTTCCGGAAAAACGTGCGGCCGCAGACAGTGCAGCCCAATTTTCTCTTTCTCGAGAAGGAAAAGTTACAGTTCAGCTCCACCGGCTCGTGGTCCTTGGAGATGAGGGAGAGCTGCCCGATCTGCAGGGGCTCGAGCTCGCCACAGCCCACATGTTCCAGCGGGTTCTCATCCTCCCTGAGCAGGAAGGCTCCGAGGCGCTGCCCGCTCTCCCTGCCCTCCGTCAGGGGCTGCACCTCGCCGAGCCCACCGCTCTCCAGGATGGAGGCAGGCACGCCGAAGGGCAGTGAGCCCGAAACATGGGTGTGCAGGTGCTCCCGCAGCCCGGCCCGCGAGTCAAAGCGCTCCCCGCAGTAGTGACACAGGTGCACCCTGAGGCTGGCCTTGGCAAGGATGGGGTTTGCTCTGTCTGGGGAAGGAGGGCTGCAGCTCTGGGACACCACAGGCTCAGTCTCACATTTCTCCTGCTTGATGGAGACAGAAAGCTTTGGCACCTCCTCTGCCGGCCTGGCCAGTGCTGTGGGCTGGGCTGTGGGATGCGGGCCTGGCTGCTCACGGCTGCTGTCGTCCAGGCCGATGGCGAGGGAGAGCTGCAGCTGCGGGTGCTCAGCTGGGGCAGAAGGCCGGCCCCCCACACTGCCCAGTGCCTCCTTGGCGCCTGGCCGCTCCTTTGCTGCTTTGTGCGCGGTGGAGATCTGGATTCCGTAGAGGTTTGAGGACTGCACGGCCTCTGAGGGGAAGGCCTGATTCATCTCGACAGCGAGGTGGGAAAGGTGGTCGGCGTGCAGGAAGCGGATGCCCTCCTCCAGCCGGCTCTGGCTGACCGCCTGCTTTGGGCCCTTCCCAGTGTACATGATGTGCAGGAGGTAGCTGAAAATGTCCGGCTGGATGTCTGCAGGCTGAATCTTTATGCACTCACTGAAACAAGACAGATGATTAAGCACATCGTTGACTCCAAATTACAGCCCTGACCCATTATCTGCCCATTCATCTGCACCGTCATTGGCTCGCAGAATGCAGGCGCTGCTGCCTGGCCGCAGGTCCATGACGGCCAGTGCTCCTTGCCAAGGCCTGAAGGAGCATGGCTGCCTTCTGTGCACAGCAGTGCTCACATGTGTTTGTGTATGGACGGGGCTCTGAGCACCTGATGGAGGTGTAGGTGTCCCTGTTTGTTGCTGGGGAGTTGGACCAGATGGCTCTTAAGGATCCCTTTCAATTCAAATGATTCTATGATTCTGGGTGATTGCAATGACAGCACACAGAGCTGCGGTGAAGAACTGTGAGCACAGCCAGCCTCCGTCTGCCCCACCTGTGACAGCTCCTAGCCATGTGTGCCACCCTCAGGAGGCACGGAGCGTTTGTGTGCTCAGGTAATAAATCCAGCCGCCACTGCCATGTAATCTTTACGAGCTTTGCACCTAAGTGTCAGCAAACAACACCTATTGCTACAGAAGTTTGCCTGTCGTCTCACTTCTAAGCAATGGCTGTGTGTGGATGGCCGAGGATCGGAGCCTGCAGCATTGCCCCTGTGGGAAAAGCCAAGAGCCCTGGGGCTGTTCAGCCTGCAGGAGAAGAGATTGAGAGGGGATCCTATCAAGGCTTATAAATACCTAAAGGGCAGGAGTCAAGTGGATGGGGCCAGGCTTTTTTTGGTGGTGCCCAGTGACAGGACAAGGGCAATGGGCACGAACTGGAAGTTCCATTTGAACATGAGGAAAAATTCATTTACTGTGAGGGCGGCAGAGCGCTGGAAAAGGCTGCCCAGAGAGGTGGTGCAGTCGCCTTCTCTGCAGGTATTCAAAACCTACCTGGATGCTTTCCTGTGCAACCTACAGTCAGGGACTGCTTTAGCAGGGGGCTGGGCTGGGGGATATCCAGAGATCCCTTCCAACCCCAGTGATTCTCTGATGATTTTCCTGGGCAGGTTCTGGAGGCCAGGAGCTCACTGCCAAGGGCAGGAGGGGGAACACACAGAGGATTAATCCATCGCTGCAGTTCAGAGGTTAGGGCTCAGAGCCAACTTCCCTATACCTGCAGAACCACCCTGGGCCCGGTCAGGTAAAACATCCAGACAGGAGATTGGAATAAGTGGATGCTCACAGTCCTGGCTCTTATCTGCAGACTTCTGAAGTGCAGCAAAGAGATAAGGCCACAGCTCCTTGACTGCCTTGAGCCCACGGATCCTGACAGGAGGGATCCAGCTGAGCCAGAAAACTGCCTGAGCCCCACGGGATCGGCTTTCTCTTTGGCTGGGGCAATTCCTAAGGCCATGGCAATGCTGGTGCTGGGCAGGCTGTGCAGGAACTGAGATGTGGGCCAGGTTAGGAAACAATCTCAGGCCACATAACATCCCCACTTGGGCTCTTTTAGATTGCAACTCCTTTAGAAAGAGGAAAAAGCAGAAAGCCGAGCAGAGCAGTAAGGACATAGGAAGAGAGCTGCGCATCCTTACCTTGTCTGATGGATAAATATCATCTTAAAATAGTTTGAGAAAGCAGCGAGCACCGCTCTGTGGGCTTTGAAGTAAACATCTCCAATGGCAACTGTGCAGTCGCACAGGAAGCCGAACTCCCGCTGCATGTTCAGCTGCTGGAGCAGGAGCAGGCTGTGGCCGGCCATGTCCATGGCGCGTCTGCGAGAAGGACAGGAGGTCTGTCCCAGCACGAAGTCCCGTCAAGCACAGAGCACAGCCCCAGAGCCTCCTCCCGCTGCGCCCAGCTTCAATGATTCCCCCCCTCCCCGACCTCCCGTCCTCCCGTCCTCCCGTCCCGACCCCGCGCTGAGATCTGCTCCCTGCTCTTATGCACAGCAAAGACCACAGCACCGAATGCCGCGCAGGTGCCAACTTTAACAACGCGTCAAAGCGCCGTCGCTCAGCGCAGACCGCACCCGGCGCGGGGAAGCGCACAGAGGGCAGTCTGTGCCGCCCCACAAAGCCCTCACTGTGCGGCGCCGAGCCGCCCCGCACCCGCCGGCCCCTTCTGCAAATACACGCTGATACGCGCTATTGTTTCCCCCCCCGAATATCGCAGCCGGGGCACGAGGGCCGGGAGGAGCCGCTCACCGCACCCCCCGCGCAGCCGCCCCGCACCGCTTACCCCCGCGGAAGCGCTGCCCCGACCCTGCGCGGCTCCGCCCGCTCCCTGCGCGGCGGATGGGGTGGGCGCAGCTCCCCCCGCGCTTCCTGCCGCCGGGCTGGGCTGGGCCGAGCCGTGCCGGGCCGTGCCGGGCAGCCCACGCGTGGAAAAACCGAGGGAGGCGGCTGCGCGGAGGTTGCGCGGTCGCTGCGCGGCGCGGCGCTGAGCCTTCGTCCACGCGGCGATGGCGCAAATACCGCGCAAAACTTCCCCCCCTCGCCGCGTGTGATGGAGGGGCCGCTGCCCCTGGTTGATTTGGTGCCCAAGGGATTGGGCTTCATATATTTATTACTGAAAATGGCAGTGGGAATCACAGCTGCTGTGCTTTTTCCACGTGGGTTTCAAGCAGCTTCACGCATTTGTCGCACTCCCCTCTGTGGTGTCACGTTTTTCAGACCATACCTGGTTTTCCCTTGATAATCTGCTGCACGCTGGAATGGTGAATTTTAATTGGGCCAAATCTGAAGCCTTTAGGGCAAATACTGCCCCAATAGCAGCAGATAGGGGATTGCTTCCAGAGGTGCCTGTGGGAGGGCGAGTGCCCCATGCAGTGCTCTCTGCTCGTCCCACTGTGCCCACAAATATTCCTTTTTCCAGCATTCCATGCCTTATTTCTCTTATTTACACACAAAGCTCACTGGGCTCGGGGCCATCTTCCCACATTTGTAGCCAGACTGCAGTTTAGTGGTGCTCCAATCCCACTGCCCCTATCAGTTCCACTTGCTGCTTTTCTTCCCTCAGAGTTCGGCAGTAGAAGCTCAAGGTTCTGTGCTCTGCTCCTGTGTTATGTGACATATTTATTAACCCGTGTACCGAATGAGGGGCTGTTTGCAGACAGCAGGTTATTTATTTAAATGATTAATTATTTACGTGTTATCTAGGTTGACCCTGGCCCAAAGATGGCTTTGAAGAGCTCCAGGGAAACCGGAGCCAAAATGATGGGAGCAGTGATGGAAGAACGAGATTTTACTATAAAAACAGTTAAGGGTTTCATGGGGTTCTGGGGTACAAAGTGGCACGGCCCACACCAGGATGTCATCATAGTTATTGTGATGTCATCATAGCTATTGTGATGTCATTGCAGCTCTTCTGATGTCATCATAGCTATTGTGATGTCACAAGTGCTATGATGGCATCATCGTGGCTATCAGAACAGGGGTGAATGTCAATAAAGTGGATGTTAGGGAGGGTTATTTATATGTATATGTATATTTGGTTGCTACATTTGTAGCTGGTGGCATTTTCAAATCTGTAATCAAATTTTTTGCTGCTGTTGCCCATCTGAAGCTGAGCTCCTTGGACATGATGTTCTTCAAGGTTCGTTCCAACTGTAACGATTTGACGATTCCTTGGGTGAACACAGAAGTGATGGCACCCCTGGAAAAGGCCTCCAATGATGGCACTCTGTGGACTGGGGCTCCTGCACAGAGTGGCCGATGGCCCTTTGGGTGGAAAAGCCAACTGCCTGCCACAGAGCCCCGTGAACGTGTCCAGTAGCCCTGCAGGTAGCAGAAGCTCCAGGAAATGCCACTGCTCTTGGAAAGGCTCGGGGAGGGTGGGGAAAGGGGCCGGGAAAACTCTGAGAGGGGAAAAAAAAACCCAAACAAAACAAAACCCAAAGCGCCGTTCTATGCTTCGTGATTAAAAGTAGCGGCGGACGCGTGAGATTCCCTGCATCGGCCCGAAGCTGCAGGAGGGAAGGCGTCAGCGGGTGGAATTTCGGCAAAAAAGAAATAGCGTATCACGCGACGCGGCAGGGGGGTCGTTATTTACGGTCCCTCGCGGCGCGCAAGGCAGCTGTCACAGCGGGGGGCCGCGAAGCCGCGCACGGGGCAGCTCCGGCTGCAGCCCCCAGCCCCGCAGGAAGCTCCGCCGCGCGCCGGGGGCTTCCCGAGGGAGCGGGGGGGGGGCGGAGGGCCGGGCCCGAGGCGCGTAGGGAGGGGGCGCGGGCCGCCCCTGCCCCGGCGCCGCCGCCTCCGCGGCGCGATGGGAGGAGAGGGGAGCGCGGCAGGGAGCCGCCCGCCGGGCCCGGCATTGGCGCGGCGCAGCAGCGCTGGCAGCGGCGGGGCCGGGAGCCGCCGGCCGCCGAGGGGAGGGGTCCGGCTCCGTGCGGTCGCGGCGGAGCCGGCGCTGCGGCAGCAGCAGGCGCGGCGGGGCGGAAGTCCTTTGTTGCAGCGGCAGCGGCGCAGCGGCGGGAGCGGCGCGGGCAGCTCTACCCCTCGCTTCGCCTCGCCTCGCTCCGCGGTAAGTGGGGCCGTGCGGCCCTCCGCCGGAGGGGTCCGGCGCGGCGCGGCGCGGCGCGGCGCGGCGCGGGGGGAGCGGGCGGCAGCTCCGCCGCCGGCGGGAGGTGGGAAGTGCCGAGCGGCTCCGGCCGCGGCGTGGCCCGACCCGGCCCGGCCCGCCATAGTGGCGCTGCCAGGTAGGGGCTCCCGGCCGGCCCTCGGCCGCCGCCGTGACCTTGCGCCCGGCGGGAGGGGACGGGCCGGGCCGAGCCGAGCCGAGCCGGCGCGGGGCCGCGCGGCGCTGCGCTCCACCTGCGGGGCGGCGCGGCGCGGAGGGGCCCTGCGGAAGCGACGCGGGGCGGCGGATGCTGCGCGGGGCGGGGGGGCGCGGGGGCGAGAAGGGCACGGCGGCTGTACTTCTGCGCTCGGGGCTTGGCGTTACGTTAAAGCGCCGTGCTCACCGCGGCTCTCCGGCGCTCCGTGCCCTGCTGGGATTTTTTTTGTTCCTTTTTTTTTTTTTTTTTTAAATGAAAAGTTGAGTTGCGGCAGTTTCACGCAGAGCGGAGCCGCAGTCCGCTGGGAACGCGCCGCCCCATCCCTCCCCATCCCACCCCATCCATCCCACCCGCCGGCAGCGGCCCGCGGTGCGCTCGGGGGTCGGTCGCGCACGAAAGGCAGCGGTGCCGAAGGGCTCCTTCCTCAGCGCGCCCCGCACGGAGAGGCGGCGAACAGTGGAGAGGAAGCGGTGCTGCGGGGTTGGGGCCGCGTTCCTGTGCCGCTGTGCTGTGGGAGTTGATGTAACTCCGATCCTCGACACGTCGGCGGTGGCGGGCACGGCGCTGGGCTGAATGCCGGCTTCTGCCGCTGCGTGATTTCCCCGCGCTACGGCATCGCGCGGCACGGCGCAGACTGCAGAGCCATCCTGGGCTGGAGCAGCGCCGTGTTCCGTAGGCATTTAATTACCTTAAACAAACATTCCTTTAATTAAAGGTGTTTGTTTAACATTCCTCGCTGCAGCTCTTGGAAAAACCCGCACAGCCCTCGCGAGCAGGGCTGCTGTCTTTTGCCAAATTAGAAACCAAAGCTCTCCCAGAGTAAAGCCAAGGCCATATGGGTGCAGAGCAGTGAACTGTGACCGTGGCACATGTGGGGCCGGAGAGCCTCGGTTGTGTGCTGCTGGTGACTTGCTCTGTGTTTGTACGGATGGGGCTGCAGCAGGGGTTGGGGAGCAGAGCTGTGGGTTGGTGCTGCATGGGAAGCTTGGCAGAGTGCTGGAAAGCCCCTTTTCCCAGGAGCAGGAAGGTTTGGGCTGCGTGGGGCAGGACCATGAGCTGAGCAGATGTTTTAGCTCTGCTGGCACACATCCTCAGTTTTGTCACGGGCACAGGAGTTGGCAGTAATTACGATGAGAGTATGCATAGCGTACTCATAGCACATGCATAGCATGGCATACTCTCCAGAGCTTACTCTGGGCTTTTAGGAGCTTTCTTACTTGGGCGTGTGAGGTTAAGTGCTTTATTCACATATGTCCATTGCTAGCAAAAGCACTGAAAGTCCAGGATCCTTTGTAGGTACTTATCTGCTGCGTGGGAAAAAAGCTGCTCGAATCTGAGATGATGAAAGTTTCCTGGTAGAAACCATAGTGCCCCGTTCCTGCAGAGGCTGCAGGTGGCCCTCTCTGCACCTCTCCCAGACCTCCACTGCAGAGCCAACTGTGTGTTTGTCAAGAAGCTTTGCCCAGCGGTTGCCCCACGGTCGCTTTCTCTGCCCTGCTGCTGCCAGGGCACAGTGAGCACCACGCACCGAGTTCTGCTGCAGACACAGCTGACACGATTTGCATGAAGACCATTTATAGCTTCAAACTGGTCTGGTAATTCTGTTTTTGTTCGCCTTGGGTCATCGCAAAGCTCTCTAGAGTTAACCAGCAGTTGCCTTTTTCTATATTAAACCTACTTCATTTGATGTAGACCTTAGCAGTTTGGTTTTTTTTATGTAACACAAGTGAATTTCAAAGCATTTAGGACCAGAAGGTGTCAATGTGTAGTCTCACCCATGTGTCACAAGGAACTTCATTCGTGTGTCTCCAGTGACTGATTGTTGTGGTGGCACACAGCCTGTATCAGCCAGGGATGCTTGTCTGGAAGGCACTTTTAGTTATCTGAGAGTCTTGGGAAAGGGCTGAATACCAGGACACCTCCTGAAGCTAACAAGGCGAGTCAGAGAGCCCAGGTGAAGGCTCATCAGCCAGCTGCAAGGCTTAAATCCGGTGTCAGGATGTTCTTCTATCAGTCTTTCAGACGTATCATTACCGTGTTGCTTCACCACCTTTTACAGTTGTAAAAGTGTCAGATAAACGGTGACTGTGACTTAATAGAGCAGTCCCTGGTGGATAGCAAGTTACTTAAAACACTGCATACAGCTCTCTGCAATACTTGGTACTCCATAGTGATTACCTGAACTTGGTTGAGATGGTAACTTCTAGGGTTTCAGTTCAAACTGTTTTCCTAACTTAGCTGCTCATGCTTTCCTGTCTTCTTATTCATCTTTTGAGGTGAGTGCTTTCTAAGACTGTGTGATGCCTTTTAACTAGTTATCAGTGTCTGACAATGGAAACCTGTTAAATTGTGAGGGCTGTTTCTCATTTGTGAATTCAGGTGCTGTGTCAGCGGGGAGCTCTGCAAACTGATGGGGGAGTGAATGGCTCTCACCATTGCTCCTTGCCTTTCTCTGGTTCAAACCTAGCCCAGGTAGCAGCTGAAGCTTGTTTCCATACATTGGCAACAAGGTAATTTTAACATCAGTTGATTCATCAGCATACACATTCTGATAGCTGAGTATCTGCGTCATGGCAGGCAGATTCACAGCTCCTGTGCCTGAAGGCAGCTAATGGAAGGACTCTGGGAGGAGGATAAATTAGAGCCGGTCCTTCCTCATCCAAGTAATGGAGCCTAATTAGACTTTCCCTGGCAGTACATGGAATTCTCCTAACTTTTAATTCACGACTGTGGGTCCTGCACTTGCAATGCAAGCTGCACCTTATCCATAGATGCTGTTGCAGTGAACAGTGTCACCTGTCCTCATGTTCTTTGCCTTTTTTTTGTGAAGTTTGTGTAAATTGAGTGCCTTCTTGGATTGTGCAGTACTATGGCAATCTCAGTGGCTTCCTCCTGTTAATGTCGAGATAAAACTTGTTGCCTGTCAGCGACTCTGCAGTCAGCATACCAGCTGAACGCCCAGATTTCTCAGGCAGCATACAGAGCTTGGATGTGTGATGTGGGATTTTTTTCCTGAGCATCTTTATGCTGTCATTTAGGAATCCAGATTATCTGGTGTAGAATCTGGACCTACGAAGGCAAAGTAATTCTTTAGGGAGGAGAGCTCTTGGGAGCCTGCGTCAGCCTGAGATGTGGTGTGAGAATAGGATGGGGAATTTGCTTTCTGCTGCCCAAGCAGCCCATTTCTTTGGATAACTGGGCGTTGGTTCCTTGAGGTTTTTCCGTCTCGTTTTCTATTAACACCAAATTCTCCGCTCATTTATTATACTTTTGTCCAGCCTGCTCTTGGTTTCTGAAGAAAAGCAGCCAGCAACTAAGCATGTAAGCAGTCTGTTTTTGCCTGCTCAGCAGTGGAAATGCTGGGTTTTGAAAACCACCTACTAATTTTAGGAGCTGAGAGGCTCCTGAATCTTGAACCTTGTGGTACTTCTTTTTTAAAGACAGAGAAGTTAGTAAAAGAACTTCAGCAGTCTCTTAAAGCTTTAACAGGGGAAAGCTTGAAGACTTCTAAAATTTCTAAAAGAAACGTTTTAAAACTAAAAATCTGTGGGGAAAAAAGAAAAGCATTGAGTTATAGTAAGAGCCTTTTCTTTCTGGTCCTTGGCTTCTAAACAGCACGCTTGGTTTGCGTAGTAGCGTAGCTTAGCTTGTTGGTGATAATATCTGAGTAGTAATTGTACCTGAGTGCTGATTCAAAAGAAAAACACAGTGGCGTGTAGGCAGCTTGGATCCAAGCTTTGCCACGTAAAAACAAACACGTAGCCTCCACATACGTTCTGTGTTTCTTAGAGTTTAAGGAACAGACTGAAATTACCTGACTAAAGCATCTACACTTCTCAGTTTCATATCAGATGCTTTTCTAGTACATTCTTTTTCAGACCACCTCTGCATCATTCAGTGTTGCTCAGAGCATGGCCCACTGCTGTGCTTACTGCACTAATTGGTTGTTGCTGAGGGTGGAGTGATGTAGGTGCCTGGTGGACCTCCTTGTGATGACTGAATGCTTCATAAATGCAGTGTGCTATTCAGGCAAGTGATCTCATTTCTTCTCTTTCTGAAATAGGAAGCAGAATTAGAGAGGATCAAAGACACATTTGAATGGACAAATTCCATGTGTAGGGCTTGAATTTTCCAAGATAATCAATGCTTAATACACACAGTGAGTAGCACCTGTTTGTATGAGGTACTGCTGATGGCTTCCCTGAAGGAAGAGGTTGGACATCTGAAAAAGTGCAAGCCAAAAAACCCAAAGGTTAACATGACTCGTCCTGATACTGACAGTAATGGGGTGCTGTTTTCCAAGCAGTGCTCTTTTTTTGTGAGATTTTCCCCCTCTTCTCCTTGCCTTATCCACCTCACCTCCTCCAAACCTGTGCCAGATGAGCAGAGATCTCACGTTGTGCACGAAGAGCACTGCTGCGTGGATCCATCCCCTGGACAGATCCACAAGGTGAGCCCAGTAGAGGAAGAAGCCTTTGGTAAGAGGAGGGCTGGAAGGTTACAATGTACATAACAAGTTGTTGAATGACTGCTGCACTGGAATTTAGCTTAATTAATGTCTTGTGTATGCGCTTAACTTTGAAACCTTTGGTTTCTTTTAAAAAGGATATTTTTGTTCTAATGACTGTTTTCTTTCCAAAGAAAATCTCAAAAATAGTTTGCAACGTTGAACCACCCACATGGGTGACAAATGCAAATCTCTGACATTTTAGCAATTAAAAATAACAAAATAATAGTAAAGGATCATTTTCTGAGACCTCATTCTTGATGGGAGGACGATTTTCAACAAACCTGTGATATTTGCTAATAGCAAAGAAACGTCAGAATTCAAAGTTCAGTTCCAGCTCTGAATGGGTGCGTGCTGTGATAGTTTTCTGCCTGTTGCCCAGCAAAAGCACATGTGCGTATCTATGCTTATATGTGTATGTGTACAAAATGTTCTTCCCTTCTGCCCTAGCACTTTGGTTCTTCCCAGTCCCTTGCTCAGGTGGTTTCACTCCCCCATGTAGATTCTAACTGCACCATCTTGTCTGCCCACGGCTGTTCCTGATCCCAGACCCCTCCTCTCAGCTCAGCCTGTCCCTCCTTGCACTCCCTGAACTCTTCCCTCACCGCCCTCTTACGCTTTCTAATCTCCACTCAGTTTTACTAAGCCCACTCCTTGCTGGGAGTCACTTAGAGCCAAGCGTTGCTCCTTTCTGGCTGCCAGGGATGCTGGAACGCAGCGGCACGTCCTGTTGCAGTGAGCCCTGTCACCAGTCTGAGTGGAGGTGGCACACAGCAGCCAAAAGGGTTTTCATGCTGGATGGGATGGCTTGGACAGGCCCCTGTACACAAAGGAGTTGCATGAGGATGAATTGTTCTCAGCAAGGCTATGATCTGAGATTTTAGTAATGCACAGCAGTCTGAAGTGTAAACAAATCTATAATTTCTACCTTTTTCCCCTCCTCCTGTTTAAGCTTAGCCAAATTCAGGCAGCTTTTTGTGTGGTGACAAAGAACATCTCTAATACATGCCTCTTTCTCCCATATGAAGTCTGATTAACGTTTATATCTGATTAATGTTTATACATCAAGGGAGTTGGGAGGCAAGTGGGTGAGGCCAGGCTCTTCTTGGTGGTGCAGGGTCAGGACAAGGAGTAATGCCCCAAAACTTGAATGTAGAAGGTTCTGTACTATTGTGTGGGAGAGCACTGGAATAGGTTGCCCAGAGAGGTTGTGGAGTCTCCTATGGAGTTATTCAAAACCTGGCTGGACACCTACCTGTGTGGCCTATTGTAGGGTACCTGCTTTAGCATCAGGGTTGGATTTCTTGATCTCTTGAGGTTCCTTCCAACCCCTGTGATTCTGTGACGTCTCTCTCCAAAGATTTTGCAAGAGAAAGTTCTTTGAATTTTAAAGAAAGAACAGTAATTTTGATCTACAAAAGCTTTCTCTTAACCTCATTTTTTTAAACTGCATTCACTGATTTTTTTTCTGGAAAAAACAAGTCTGAAGCACAGAGTTCACAAGGAAATTTTTGCTGTTGCTGGTTGAAGTTTGTCAGAGTTTTAAATAGACCAACACAGGCTCTTGTAGTGGGAAGTGTTGGCAGCTGTAAATATATGGTTACACATGGCAGGTTAATACAGCATACAGAGGAAGGCTGCCAGAACTTTCATTAACATAGATAACTTCAAACGCTCTCTATTTTAATACCTGCTTGTAGTACTACTGTGATGGAGGCTGTGTACACATCTGAGCACCTTGCTGGCCTGACCAAGCTCACTCATGCTCGGGCTGGTTCTTTACAAAGCAGCAGTAGGAGAAAGGCATCACCGGTGGGTTATTTTTGCATATCAGGGTTCAAGTGCTGAAAGAGTTTTTCTGTCAAAAGAGGAAATATGTTTCACTTTTTTCAAAGAAGAAGGAAACTTAGAGAAAGTGTGTTTGTGCACCGTCACTGCAGTGACTGCCAGATCTTTCCCACAATTTTGAAATGCCCCTTTGCAGGTGTGGGCAGATATTTGTGACCTTGTGTTGCTGTTTTGCTGTTGGAAGGCATGATAGAATACTTTCTGTATGCAGAAAATAAAAATGAAAAGTGTAATCTTGTTGCTTTGTGAGGACAAGAAGGTTAACATAAGCTGTCCTGATTTCTTCCTCTAGCAGCCTTAAGCCTTTTCTTGTCCTGATGGAAGTTCACACTGAGAGGCCAATGGTATCTTAGAGTGCATCTTCTCATGTTTCTTGTTGATTTTCAGTCGTAGGGTCTGGAAGTTGAAATCAGTTCTTTGTTATTATGCAGTTGCTGGTCTTAATTCTTGATGAAATGTACTGAATTGCATTCAAGTGTGTGATTAATTACCTGAAATACAAAACACCTTAGCACTTGGGAGAATATGAAGTGCTCTTTAGGTATTACTTGATGTTGAAAGGTTTGTTATTTTTCTGAGAAATCTGAAGTTGAAGTTACCCAGAAATTAAGATAGTTCACAAGTTTCTGGAGAAAACACATGAAGCTGTTCCAGGGGTTCTTCTGTTTTCATAGTCACCCTTTTGTAAGAAAGCCATTGAGTGGATTCTATGTAACAAGCTGCATTTCTGCAGTGGACATCACTGAACCAAACTGATCAGAGAATTGTGATGTGCTTACCTTGAGTTCTGGGGCTGTAGGAATAAGCTGGGGGGAGAGGAACAGCTGCACCCAAGTGTTAATCATGAATATAAAACCAAATCTCAAGATCCACATTGCCACTTAAGGTCTGTTGATAGTGGTCCTTATGAATGGCTGTAGTATTGGCAGTAGGGAATATTGCTGGGTGGTGATGAGCATTTCCTCATCTAGAAGGCTTGAATGCATTTTTTTTTTTCCATGACAGTCATTTGTGGAATGAAGGAGAACAGTGACTAATGTTAGGTCTGCTACTTAACAGCCCAAGCAACATCTCTGATTTGTGAATTCAGTGCTTATTGTGGAATATAATTTCTCATTTTCCAGTCACTAGGAGATAGGTGTGAGCTGGCAGGGAGCTGATGGGGAGTGGATAAGAAGAAACCAGGGAGCATTTTTGTGTATATTTTGTTTAAATTTTGGACGGTTGAAAGAACAGTGACAAATCAACCTATGCATTTAACGGAGCCATAAAATGCAGTTTATACATGTTGTTTGCTAGCCTGTATCATATGTGTACAAATCTCTTACTGTTGTTTCTATTGCTTGCAGTAACCTTTTGAAGTGTGAAGGATGCTGCTTTAGGTCTTTCTTTTCAGTTTGAGCATTCTTTACCTTTTTTTTTTTTTTTTTTTCTCAAACCACTCTGTCCTGCTTCCTGTTTTTTTAGCACACATTGTGTGTCAATAAAGGTTTTCCAAAGTGAGCAGGGAATAGCTTTGCTTGGTTGCAGTTTATCTTCTGTAAATTGAATGGACACCTCCTGTATACAGTGTATTTTTTCTGAATGTTTTTCTTAACATAATGTAGCACATTTTCTTCCTCCTTCCTGTTTCTCACAAGTTAGTTCTTTCATGTATAACACCTTCCAGCACTTTGCTTCAGGTGTCTGCAGTTCTTCATTGAGACTTCATCTCTCAATGCTGCCATCTCTGGCATGCTGGCCTTTAGTTCTTCATTAGTTGTTTTTTTTTTGGTCCAGTCTCCAATCAAAGTGTTTTGCTTATATTAAATGAAAGAGTGATTTTAAGAGGAGCTGGAGGCATGGTGTGCACCACTTCCTGCTTCTGTGCTGCCCATGTTGCACTGTGAGCCTGATGACCGTCTGCAGCGGGTTTGTGTGGGACACACTGCCTGCCCTGTGCTTCTGACAGTGCACCTGAGTTGCACAGCTCCTGGTTTGCTAGGTGTCTTGCAGATAAGTTTGAGAAGATCCCCAAGTGCCATAAAGAGCAAACAGTGTAGCCTGTGTGGATACTTCACCGATGTCTCTTCTGAATTTCCTTTAGTAGGGAGGGAAAGACCAGTTTGAGCCCAGCCTTGTTGCCAGTAATGTGTTGCATCATAGGTCCTTTGGTCTGGCAGGTGAAAAAGGCAAGCTGAAACTCAGCGGTGGTTTCTTACAGTCAGCTCACCTTGTAGAGCTGTTGTCCCGGGGCTGTCTTGCAGAAGTCTGCCCTGTGAAGCTTTTGAAGTTCTGCATCCTGAATTCCTATCTGAAAAATCTTGGCTGTAGGACTTTGAGATATATTTGCTAATTTATGTTCTAGCAGTGTTGCTGTAACTGATGTTGTGGTTGTTATGTTTATTAGTTTACTGGTCTTGTAAGTCTAGTGGTGAGAACATGGGATTATGGATGTTTTCACTGGCATCAACAGTAGTTGCCAGCAAAGATGTCCAGACGGGAAATCATACCACAAACAGTGTGAGAATAGGAAGAGATCTAGAGAGGAAAAAGACGGCGGTTCCTCTCTACGCTTAAATGTATTCCACTTTCTGTGCTTACAGTTCTAACAGATGTCATCATCTTTTTGCAGGGCTATAATTGAAGTACAAGATGGCAAGAACCAGCCACAGCAACTATGTCCTTCAGCAGCTAAACAACCAAAGAGAGTGGGGCTTTTTGTGTGACTGCTGCATTGCTATCGATGATATTTATTTTCAAGCACATAAAGCAGTCCTTGCTGCATGCAGCTCCTATTTTAGAATGTTTTTTATGAACCATCAACACACTACAGCCCAGCTGAATCTAAGCAACATGAAGATTAGCGCTGAGTGCTTTGATCTTATTTTACAGTTCATGTATTTAGGAAAAATTATGACCGCCCCTGCCAATTTTGAGCAATTTAAAGTGGCCATGAACTATTTACAGCTCTATAATGTACCTGAGTGTCTGGAAGATATACAGGATACAGACTCATCTAGTTTAAAATGCTCTTCTTCTGCTTCCAGCACCCAGAACAGTAAAATGATATTTGGTGTGCGAATGTATGAAGACACGCTCGCTCGAAATGGCAGCGAAACAAACAGGTGGGGCATGGAGCCGCCAAGTTCAACAGTAAATACATCCCATAACAAAGAGCCTGATGAAGAAGCTTTGCAACTCAGCAGTTTCCCTGAACAACTGTTTGATGTCTGCAAAAAAAGCACCACGTCCAAATACTCTCACACAAAAGAGCGTGTGTCTCACTCACGCCGCTTCGGAAGAAGCTTCACCTGCGACAGCTGCGGGTTTAGTTTTAGCTGTGAAAAGTTACTGGATGAGCACGTGTTGTCGTGCACCAACAGGCATTCGTACCAAAGTGCCAGGTACTACGGTGCTGAAAAAATAGACTTTAATGAAAAGGACTCTGCTTCTAAAATAATCTCTACGCAAACAGAGAAATACAAAGGGGATTCCAGCCAAGTTGTCGATGAGTCGTCTTCTCCCGTGTCCAACATTACAAGCAGGAAAAGCAGCACGGTGGCATCCGAAACGTCAGGTGAAGAAGGAAGTCGAGCTTCTGAGAGGAAGAGGATTGTCATCAAGATGGAACCAGAGGACAGTCCTGCAGAGGAGCTGAAAGATTATAATATTATCAAGGTGACAGATAAAGACTGCAACGAGTCTTCTGATAACGATGACCTAGATGATGAGCAGGAAGAGCCACTTTACAGGTACTATGTTGAGGAAGAGATGAGAGAGAAGAGAAATGCTCGGAAGACTTTAAAACCCCGTTTATCCATGGATGAGGATGAAAGGAGGTGTTTAAAGAGTCCGCGGCACCTTAGCAGGAAAGCTCCCTCCGTCCAGGAAGATGTGGAGAACGCTCCCTGTGAACTTTGTGGGCTAACAATCACCGAGGAGGATTTGTCCTCTCATTATTTATCCAAACACATAGAAAATATATGTGCCTGTGGCAAGTGTGGTCAAATACTGGTCAAGGGCAAACAGTTACAGGATCATGCACAGACCTGTGGAGAACCCCAGGACCTGACCATGAATGGTATCAGAAATTCCGAGGAAAAAATGGACTTGGAAGAAAACCCTGAGGAGCAGTCGGAAATAAGGGACATGATGTTTGCAGACATGCTGGAAGACTTCAGGGACAGTCATTTCCAAATGAACAGCCTTCAAAAAAAACAGTTATATAAGCATTCTGCCTGTCCTTTCCGATGTCCTAATTGCGGGCAGCGTTTTGAAACTGAAAACCTAGTGGTTGAACATATGTCCAACTGCCTGGAGCAAGATCTGTTCAAGAATTCCATGATGGAAGAGAATGAAAGAGATCACAGACGTAAGCATTTCTGCAATCTTTGTGGGAAAGGATTTTATCAGCGTTGTCACTTGAGGGAACACTATACTGTTCATACCAAGGAAAAACAGTTTGTTTGTCAGACATGTGGGAAGCAGTTCTTAAGAGAGCGCCAGTTGCGGCTCCACAATGATATGCACAAAGGAATGGCCAGGTATGTCTGTTCCATTTGTGATCAAGGAAACTTCAGAAAACATGACCATGTACGGCATATGATATCTCACTTATCAGCTGGAGAGACTATATGCCAGGTCTGCTTTCAGATATTCCCAAATAATGAGCAACTGGAGCAGCACATGGATGTTCATCTGTATACATGTGGAGTATGTGGAGCAAAATTTAATTTGAGAAAAGATATGAGATCTCACTATAATGCCAAGCATTTGAAAAGAACATAAGCATAATCATACTGTTAAAGCATTAAGTTGGCAGCAGAGAGAACACCAAAGCAAGGCATACAGTATAGTAGACAAAAATTAAAAAAAAAAAAAAAAAAAAAAATTGAAAACAAGTTTTTTTTATTATTTTTTTTTAAGACCCTCTTAATCATAGGTGTCTAGGCTCATTAAGTATATAGCTTCGAAAAGCTTCATGTGTTTAATTATTACATTTTCACTGTTTCCTAATATCAGTTTCTGTTCTTAATTTTATTGTTTTACTAAGTAGATATACAAATCATTATTTTTAAACTGTAGATTAAAAGCACAATGTTACCCCTTCACTGACTGCTATTAAACAGTTCTCGGATCCATGTCCATAAGATGAGTGCTTTAATATTTCCATGTGTTGTTTCTTCATGTGAAAATTTTAGATCACAGCAATTAATATGCAAGAGCATAATTGTTCATAATCCCAAAATTAATTTTCAAAATGAAAAAAACAATGCCAAGAAATAATCCTTTGCTGTCTGACTGCTGTGAGGGCAGAACCGGCTGTCCCGATGCTCAGCTTCTTGGCTTTGTTGAAATTTGCATCCCAGCAGTCAGAGCACATAGGCTCAGTTAAGCCTTGCAGAATTGGACTGGTGTTTGCAAAGGGAAAGGGAGTTACTGACTGTAATTGAGGAGTTTCCAGCAGAGTGGTCATTTTCCAGACTTGAAATTTTAGCAGAACTGTAATGGGCGCTTCTGCCGTATGACTGACATTGGCCTTTTGCTGGCTATCCTTATCCACGTGGGTCTGTATAACCTGCTTATCATAATATACAAGGAAAGACTTGCTGTGGTGGATTGCTAGGAATGCAGAATTGCTATGTGCGCTGAAGACTTCATTTCTCAGCTTAGCTGTAAATGGGTGCCTTGTTGCTTTTGTTGGGAAGTTAAAAGTGGGATGGGTTGTAGATAGTCCCATTGCTTGGGTGGGAAGGGAAGGGGGAGTATGGCTCATGTCAACCTTAGATTTTTTTGTTTCTTGTTTTCATGATACTTTCTGAATGTTCTGTTTTTCAACAAGAATATAACAAGAAAAGACTGCAGAGTTTGTTTAATAAATGTAAAGACATTTAATGCCTTTAAAGATTTCTTTCTGATTCTAGTATAGCCCTAATCTGTGTAGCTTGTCTCTTAATTTAACTCAATTTAAAAATACTGCTAAGTACCATCTGACATCAATTCAGTGGGGCAGTTTGGCCTTGGAGAGAACAACTGGCTTTGACTCATAGGCACCAGCTGTCTAAATGTTAAGTATATGGTTTTTAATGGGGGGCAGCAGGATCCTAATATGAAATGGTAGAACTATTACAAAATAAAAGCTAGTTGTACTTTCTCCCAGCAGATCTCACTTTACCAACCAAGGTAGTAATGTGGCCTCCTACTGAGCCATGGAGAAGGAAGTGATTTCAACCAGCTTGCGTGTCAGTGGTGGGGCTGAGAGCAGGAGCCAGGAGCTGATCCCTTGTTTCTCAGGAGTTAACGGAGTGTTGAGCTTCAAAGGACTGTTTAGATAAATTAAAACAGTTCAGAATCTCCTCTATATCTATCTATCTATATCAAACTGAGTACCAGTAGTCTTGTTTTTATTCAGTTTTGAACGTGAATCAGAATTTCTCTTGTTGGTTCAACATGCATTTCCTCTAAGACAAGGGAGTGGGGAAGGGCCCAGCCACGGGGCTGCAGGCCTGAGCTCGCTGTTGGCCCTCAGAGGCTGCTTCAGTTGCAGCGTGGGCCTACAGCATTTTGCTGGAACTGCTCAGTCTTAGGTTGTCTTGAAGGTGCTGAAGTCAGCTGGGTCCCTAACAGCACTGGGATTAAAAGTACTGCTGATGTTAATGCATTCCAGCTCTTGAGTTAATTCCAAGCTTCTCTATTACTAGAATTTTCTTACACACTTCCTATCCCAAGCTGGACTGAAGCTCACTGTGTAAGAGTTCAAAGAATAACCAGGATGGCTATTACAGCACTCTCAGTGCTGGATTCAGTGGTAGAAGGTGATTAGAAGGATCCATGCAGTATTTGACCACCTGTAGCAGTGAAGTAGATAAGCACTTACTGTGGTAGAAGGACTGGGGGCTAACACACTGCACACAATTTCTCTGACATTCAGGTTCTCACTTAAGATATCAGCTATGACTGAACTGGGAAAAGCAGCCAAGAAGACTGAGGGAGAGCTAGAGGGTGCTGGGGAGTTGACCGAAGAGCCTCGTGGTACAGGGTGAGCTGGAGGAATGGAAAGGCTCAGTGGCAGACGGGGGAGGGCAGAGGCTGGAAGGGTCAGACAGAGAGACAGCCAGAATCAGAGCTGTGCAAAGGAAAGCAGAGGGGAAAACATCCCAAAGGTAGCACAGAGGGCGAGCCTGGAGGAGTGGATAAAGGCCTGTAGATGCCTGTGAGACCAGAGTGAGTGTGACTTAACTTGGCTGGGAGAGCTCTCAACCCATGTGATTAGCTCACTGCGGCACAAATTAATAGTGCGGATGGTGTTCTTGCACTAGGAGAGCATGGCACAGCAAGGAATAGTTAAAGATCTTGTTGAAAAGGAGGAGGTGACTTGTGCAAACTAAAAAATCATTTAGGAATACAGGGAAAGGCTAACAGCAATTTATAAATGCTTCTGGTCATGGTCAAGAGCCGTTCTTTAAGGTGTCTTGGTCTGAACTTGACCCAAAAGTGATTCACCAAAAGAACAACCAAAATAACTTCCTAGCATGAGTAGACCTGTCAACTACAAAGTTAAATTTAGGAATTGTGAATGGTGGTATTTATGTGAACTATCTAACTTTACAAACACTCTCCCTTTGTTTTTCAATTATAGGCTGTATTGTAGTATCCTTTCAAGGAAAGCTTGTTGTTCCTACTGAATTTGAATGAATTCTTTTTCCCATTCTTACAGAACAAAAGCATTGCCTTGTTGTTCACAGGTTTGCATATCCAGAATAAGTCTCAAAAAGTGCATGGATTGCACTGCAGGAAAGCTTAGAGTGGATCTACTTGTATTTAATCAGAGAATAACAGAATGACTTATATAGCCCAACAGGTGATTGGGGAGTACACAAGAACAAATCAAAGTTACGAAAGTAAAAACAAGATGCCTTGCTTGCAAGTAGATGCAGGAGAGAATGTTTATGGTAATGTGAAAGTATGCAGAGAAGAAGGGGTGGTGCCATGCTCTCGAGGACAGAATGGGACAGTGTCCATGGAGATGTGAAATGGTGGTGTTTCAGCCCTCTTGATATGAGAAAAAGTACTCTGTGTGGAAACAGAACAAAAGCACATCTGACAAAAAAACAATTGCAGTTATGATATCCTAGAAGTCCTACTGTTACTTGAAAGATAACGAAGGGGAAGCAAAAACACTTAAGTCAGAATTCTATTTCCTTTAAGAAATTTGTACTTCTTGGTAACATTAACATAGTTCCTTTCTATTCCCTTCCTGCACTGTTTGGAGATTTAGCATATAAGACCCTTGAGAAACTTAAGGATCTTTAAGGTTGGACATGTATATGCATTGCATTGGACAAAGCATAGCCAGAAAGAAACAATGACACTATTTTAAAAGTGTTTTGCTATTTTTATTTTTAGAGGATCTCTCTCTGTTCTGCTTTTTTTCCTCATTTTGGCAGTGGTGTGAGTGGCAACCCTGAGAATTGTGTAGCTAACCTAGATATTAGCTTTCAGGATTATTGCAACTTAAAAAGAGAGACTTCATAAAGACCCGAAATGAGCTTTAAAACATAACAAAAGCTGTCAAGCTGCTTTTTCAGTATCAAAGGAAATATCCAAATATTTAAGTGTGTGTGTGTGTGTATATATGTACACTTGTAAATACTTATTGGCAACTTGCTAATTCAAAGAATATTTACATTTGTTTATAATAGTATTTAGCTACCTGATCCATGGAGGAATCTTGATTTGAATAGAATATCACAGAATTCTAAGAATTTGTACTTTTACTAGGGGACTATGCTATTTAATATATTCAGTTAATGGAGAAAATAGAATTCAGCATATATTTTTTAATTGAAAGCCTAAAGACTGTAAGTCTGCTGTCCTGGAGAATCTATTGAAAAAAATACGGTTATAAAAGCAACTACTTTGCCTACACCACTGTCTTTCAACACACTAGTACCAAAACATCAGGTGTATCTCAGCTATTGCTGAGGATGTAAGTTTGTTCCTGATGGTGTCGCCTTGAGCACTGTGGGTTCCTTTCTCCCTGACACGTTGTTTCAGCTGTTGTATCACTTGTGTTCTGCCTTCTCCCTTGTCAAAAGACACGTCTATGTGAGTTAACAATGAACAGGGTCAAACGACAAACTTTTTGTTTCCCTGGGGGGTTATTTTTTGTCTGGATCAGTTCACCCTTGCAGTTCCCTCTCTATCTCAATAGAAATGGTGGCACGAGGGGAGAAATGAGTGGCTGGGGGGAGGGAGGGCTCATTTGCCTACATGAGTTATGTTAGAACTTAAAGCATGGCCAAAGCAGGGGGGTTACAGCTTGATGATCCTTGGGGTCCATTCCAAGCCATTCTATGATTCTGAGCTGCT